TTATGAATGTTTAATTCCACACACAATAATAACTGTATACCATACGTCTGCTAACTTTGCCTGCTGCTGCACACAAACCCCCCCAGGGATGAAAAAAGTATACGTCTATCTTTTAAAATAGTGACGTATCTGTGGTTAGCTCAGCTGCATAGGGGGGAGTGGTGCCGGCAGGTAGTTAATGAGCGCAGTTGAGTAACATTTATGTTAAGACAGTTTTCCTTTCAACCTGGTTGTTTGTGTCGTCTGCATGACTCACACTGTAACACATGAAGGCATCGGAGATGCTTCTTTGTAGCCGCTGCAGACTGACATCACCAACATGCCTCTCCGTCCATCACAACTACGCAGCTTAGTGGAGGTCGATTCACTAAACAGCGCCTCGTCGTTTCCTAACTCCAAACTCTTTCCTTGACCCGTGATGTCAGGGACCGCTTTTTTTTGACAATTCGAATCCAGCCTGAAAGTTGAAATTACCCAATGACCAAATAAAACAACTCCACACAAGCCAAGAGGCTCCACCCCTTCATGTACCTGTAGAGAGAGTTCCAGTAGCCCCGCCCCTTTCTCATCATCGAGTTTGCGTTGGAAACGTAGGAGACGCATTTCTTCCTCTGTGGCCTGTAGAAAGATACATTACTCTTTATTAACATTCAAACTGGAGTCAAAGCCGAGCACGCAGGGAGCTTCAAGCTTATATTATACACGTTTTACCTTTGCAGAGAACTCATTCTTGGCTTTGTTGTATTCATCCACAGCACTCTGCAGCAGAGACAGACGGCTCTCTAACCTCTGCACACACAGAACGAAGGTCTACGATAAAGGCTTTAACTCGCTTCAACACACAGACCACCGGAGGTGTTGATCTGAGTTTGAGTGCGGTTCTTTACTCCACATCAGCTTGTACCTTTTCTCTGTAGCTGGCAGTAACGTAGTAGTTGGCAAGTTCCTTGTGGTCATCGTCCTGGTTATAAAGGTCCTTCAGAGTTTCTTGTTCCTGCAGTTTACAGAACTAAAAATACAGAAAATAAAAGAACTACAGATTGATGAACAGAACTGTAAAGCACCGATCAATAGGCAGGAACTGCCAGCATTCAGGTAATAATAATGATATTACAGCAGCAAGTGTCAGCAGGGCCATAGCAGGTGGAAGGACCAGGGTGCAGAAAGAACCATGATCCATGCAAACTTGTGAGGAGGGAAATTACAAAAACTCCAACTAATGAGATGTGAATTCTTATAGAAAAAGGCGATAAGTGTGTCGTAGGAAGCCCTGGCAGGCCTACAGCAGCTTATCTAGGGGCTGGTCCAGGCTAACCTGAGCCAGCAAGAAGAGATGAACGGGCCTTTGTATCCTTCAGGGGTGCAGGTGGGTTTCAATACCTCGTCTGTTCAATGTGGAGTGCGGCATAACTCACAGAAACATGAACTATGTTGCGGATGACTGCTTGTGTGAGAATTATACACATAAATTGCATTTCTGTAAAAGTAGCTGCTAGTCCTAATCAGTCCACTGGGGGGGGGGGTTGCATTGAACGAGTAAGCGCATGAGAAACACTCAGATCGGCACATTCCAGCTGCCACTTTTCACTGATGGCAGCGGCGCTTGCTTGGAAATGGCGGTGCCCCCCAGCCTGGCGACGGGACCATGTACCCTCCCCCCATTCGGCCGGACCATCACCTATAATCTTACTGGACTGGCCCACTTGAGGTCTAAGTGGGCAGTATGTGGCCCCTTACCCAAAATGAGTCCCCCCTGGCTTAGACCATGGTCCTGTGATACGGTTCTTTTTTCAGTCGCCATATTATGCATTAACAAATTTCCTCTTAGATATGGGTGAAATGCAGCGCTCTGGATGGTGCTATTCAAGCAATTTACACAGACAAAGCCCAAAAGATATGAAATATGTATTTACATCCTAGTCTACACCACTTGTGAAAAAGGTTGAGGAGTTTCAGTGAACTGCAAGGTTAGTTTTTAATGGCGAAGAACAGAGTTTAACAAAGAATCACGATGCTTAATTTTAAGCATCATCAGAAAAATTCCAAAGTAATTTGGACGAGGGACGTCGCCAGTCCAACTTCAAGGGGGGCTAGAGAGACATTTTTAGGCACCTATATTCTTGCATGTTGATAAGTATGCTAAATGGGCCAATACCCCAAAAATGCACCCTGTATCCTCACAATTTCAACAGTTCCTTGCCAGACCGATGTTGGCCACTCAGAACCTAATGAAAGTGGAGGTTGGTTAAACAACAAAAGACCAGTACAAGATTGAACTACAGATGGCGAATGCCGAGAACCATAGAATACTAAGGTTGGGCAGACAGCGGTGTAGCGGCTTTAACAACAACCCCCACACAAAAGAAAAGAAAGCCAAACCGACATGAGGACTTGACGTGCGCTGTGTTCGAGCCCCGTCCCGCCAGAGCGGCTCGGGGTAAAAGTGGACCACAGCAGCAAATAGGGAGTGAAAGAGAGAGGGAGACAGTGGGGCGGTTGGGGTGTCTTACAATGTTCCTACCACCAATGGACATAACGCAAAATACCAATATCACTACAAGCCCTGAAAAAGGGGAGATAGTAAACGCCTTTTGCCATGAAACAACAACAAAGTGATAATAAACAGTACCTGTCTGTAGAGGCTTAAAGCCACTGGTTGATTCCTTAGTGTCATGAAGAAGTCTCCCCTGTTCATCTCGTTCTTTAGGTACGTCACCACCGTGTAAACTGGGAACACAAGAAATCAGTGTGACACCATCTAGCTGACAGACAGGTGGAGCTAGCAGACACTCACCTAGGTCAGTGTCGCCGCTCTCCACGGCTTTACTCAGAGCCAACTGACTCCTCTTCATCTTTAACAGCAGAGGAACCTGCTCTCCAGACCGGGCTTCAAAGTCCAACAACTGACAGACCAAAAGAGGAAATATTGTCAGTATACGTGCGTCAATCGAGGTAACACACAGGTATACGGTCAACGCTTGGTGAGCATACAACAGGGATGACTGAACGCAAACTAAAAACACACCTCAAGGTGCCACTTACTTATAACCTTTAGCAGTTTGGCTTTAATCAAGAGAGTGTATTTTTTTTTATTAGTGTTGGTCTAGCTCTTGAATGGACTTATTGGAAGTCACTTTGGATGACGTTAGCCTAACGAATGTAGTGATATCGTTACCTTGATGGCGAGCTCAGTGCGTCCACATTCGTAAGCTTTGGCTGCGATGTCCGAATAAGAAACACCAGGTGAGTCTCCCACCTTAGCGCACATCGCTCGGGCTATGGCCTCATCGGATAGGTCCTTCTGCTGCACCTGAACACGGCGACCGCCCCGTCACACAGGTGAGGTGTAGTAACCAATAACGTTACTGTAGACAAACATTTTTACCTGGGTGAACACATTACCTTGCATGAAGCCCAGTGTTTAAGGACTCTGCTGACTCCCTGATAATCTGGAATCTTCAGGTAACGACACATTTCTATCGCTAATGGATAAAACTGTCGATACACCAACCTGGGAGGCAGACACGTAGGGAGAAAAGGGCAGGTTATTGGACAGCTCCTGAGAGAAAGACAAGAGGAGATGGATGAGCCAATTCACCTATCAATCAACACCTGGAGAGTCATCTGTTTAAATCTGAGGTCAGATGTCAAGGAGCTTGTCACCATAGTTACGCAGAAAGAGATTAACAGCAGACTGATCTGACATGCAGTGAAACATCAGATGACATCCTTCACGGAGCCCTAATCGTCAGTGATTAAAGCCTAGTTTGTGCTGCTGCGTTTTCCACCCATTTTTCTAGGCTTGCATCGCTTTTGACGCAGCCTCCCGCAGCACCAGGCTGTGATTGGTCCGCTGACTACGTCCTTTACGGAGTCTCACGTCTCCGTTTTCACAGCACAATACGGCCGTTATTAAAAGGAAGAACGTTTACGAGAGAACGGATCAGATTGAAGAGCTTTTAAATATGAGCGCTTGTACAAGCCGTCATTGGCGGACTATGAGGACGCCGGATGGCCTCTGATTCATGGAGGGAGATCTCCACAAACGAGGGGGACAAAGTCGTGGAGGAAAGGACAAATGACAAATGTGTCCTTGATGAAAAGCAGCAGTGTGGATGCACGGGGCAATAAAGTCTATGATCAATAAATAAAGCAACCAGCGACTTCCACACACAAAAAACGTGACTCTCTAGGTCGTCTTCAACAAAACACGTGACTCCACCTGTTGTTCTGGAGGTGAATCGTTCTGCAACACACGCAGGACTTTACAACCAGGAAGTGAAACCAGTGCGTCGACACGACGTAAAGATGCAGAAACATGCGGCAGCCTTTAGACACATTACATAGAAAAGGTACAATAGATTTCCCATGATGCACTTGAAACAGGATACTGAGTGTGAGTGAGGGGCAGCCCCACGCTGCTCTCCCTCACGGAATTCAGCACTCTGAGTTCTCTGCAGGTCGTCACGAACTGACCAGGACTGAAGTCCGTCAGGAAACATTTACCGAAGGATGCGGCCTGGTGGATGCAAGACAATGTTAGAAGACAGACTTCTCGACGAGACACAATGGAAGAAGACAGAACGTCTCGTGGTGGACGAGGCACGATGCAAGAACGTCTCCTTGTGTTTGATACGCAATCTAGGTAGACAAAATGTCTCCTGTTGGATGTGACAGAATTTACTTGGACAACAAGACACAATGGAAGCAGACAGAAACTTGGGCGGACTGGGGGAAGGGAGTTACTGTCAGACCGGCCCACTCCATGCATCGCACTTTATGACCAGTCAGTGGCCTACTTGGAAAAATACCCCATTATTATTCTGGATGATGATAAAGAAGTTACAACATACGTTTCTTTAATGACATTTGGATCCACCAATGGAATAAAATGTTACGGAGTAGTGTAACACTCCACGGTAGGTATGGTTTGCTAGATGAATATAGTTAACTCTGGGTTAGTATCAGATGGTATGGATCACTCCAGAGCCTTAAAGAATGAATGTTAAATAAAGACCCCGGAATCAGAGGGTAGAAGGGGTGCTGCTATATTGTAGAAATAAACAGAACATACCATCGTATGTGAACATCAGTGGTATCAGTAGTGTTGCACGCTGGGTGAGTAATTGTGTGTAGGGGTGTGTTTTGGGATTGAAATTTCATGAGTGTGAGTAGTATAAATCTCAGTCAGTAATTACTAGCTTTAGCAGAGTACATTTGAACAAAAGCGATTGGCTTCTCACCCTCATCAGGGATTTCTGCGTATTTGGGTCGTATTCGTGTCCTGCTGCCTCGATGCATTGGGAAACCGCTTCTCCAAGCATGCTTTGCTCTTTGATCTCTCTCAGGTACTCATCAGCCTTCTGACTCGACTTCTACACAAAAGTGAAATAAAACGTATGCATCAGGAGAAAAACTTGCCGAGACCGGCTTTGTTCTTCAGTGTGACAGACTGCATCCTACCTCGTACTCCCTGTGGGCCTCCAGCAGAAGAGCACCGGGAGCCATGGAAGCGATTTTGAAGATTTCCTGACACACCAGAGGAACCTCCTGCAGCAGCTCCTGATTGGTCGAGCTGATAATGCGAACTCCGTCCATTTCTCCGACCAAAACACACTGGTCCTCTGTTGGGAATCTGAGGCAAGGATTCAAGGTTTAAACATCCCCTGACCAGAGTCTCCTTTAACAGTAGAAGGTTATTTAAATAGTCCAAGGAGAACCCTAAATGTTGCTTGAAGCACCAATTCAACCCAGCTGGTTGGTGGTTACGGTCTGAACTGGCTTAAAAGATACTGGATTGTGTCCTGACAGACTCCGACCACCATGAGCAGTCTGTCCCACATCAACACCACAGACGGCTGCTGACTCTTTGGTCTGCGACACCTGGACAGGCACAGACAGACATGGAAAAGATACAAAAAATATTATTTTTTTTAAAAGTCATAAGCAGACAAAGACAGACAGGTAACGAGACTGATAGACAGGCAAATAGTCAAATAGAGAGTGAGATAAATAGAATGCGAGATGGGTAGACAGAAAGCTAAAGTCGAAGACAGACAGGTAATGAGATGGAAATTTCAACAGAGTGGACAGATAGAAGTGGGAAGACGGATAAAGAGATCAAATAGGTAAAGGTAGACATACCAGACCATCTGTTTGGGAGGTGTCAACTTTTTAGTGTCAACTTCACTCATTTTGTCCTGCAACATCAGAATCACACATCAATCACCGGTTTCACAGACCCGGCCCCCCTCACGTTCGATCAAACAGCGAGTGAGGAGCAGCTTACCTGAAGATGGGAGGGGCCTGTCCACAGGTGACCAGAGTCAGTTAAGACAGCCAGGTATTTATAGCTGAAAGACACAGACATGTGGACAATACTGCCGCCCTGAGGAGCAAGACCTGGAAGACTCTAAGGACACAGGTAAAAAGATACGTAAGGTTAGTAACCTGTCTGTCAACTTGTGTGGGCACCGGTACAGCTAAAGAACACTTTCATGTGGACTCAGACATGGAGGACCAGGAAGACAGACAGACAGTTAATTGTCTCACCACCGCAGTACAGGACGTGTTGTCCAGGATGTACAGTTCAGATCCAGTGGACAGGAGGACTTTAGTCTGTCTGTCCTGGTTGAGGACGACCCAGCAGGAGGGTTTCCCTTGTAGACCTACAGACAGACCAGCAGGATTCAGTTCAACACCCAAACCCAGAGTAAGAGCTGAGGACTACCAGGTGCTACCTACCAGGGACTTCAGGTAACCTTCTGAGCTTTAGGTCATCAATGTTGGTTGCCATGATGAAGCGTGATGAGCCTGTTACTATGGCAACCCCTGTTCCATACGGAGAGTGGAACACTTTGGCTTCCAGAACCTGACTCTGGACCACTTCCTGTCAAGAACAAGCAGTAGATACATCAACTGATGCAGACTGACACATCCCATACTGAAGAGGTTAGTGAAAAGACTGACCTGTCCCATACTGAAGTGTCTCTTGAAAGACCCAAACAGATCGTAGATCAGAACCGATCCGTCCTCCTGAATACACAACAGCTCATCACTCACCGTCCAACCCAAGTGGACCACCGGACCACTCTTCCACTGAGAGAGAGACGGGAACAAAGACAGCAACAGACAGACAGATACACAGTTAGTAATTTACAGAATCATAATGAACAGTTTTGCTCCTAATGAACGACGTGATTGGTTGAAAGGTGTGTGTATTTTTACCGGGAAGCTGGCAATGGATACTCCAGATGCAGAATAAATCTCAAGCTGAGGACGAGAACTAGGAGACCGTCTGACAGGTTCTCTGAGGAGAGCTGAGGACATGAGGACCTTGTGATCACTGTTTGCAATAAGCCTAACTCTGATATGATGACCGGTATCTGTACTACAAAGGGCGTGTGGGAGTGTGTTCGTACCTATTGGACCTCCATATGGAGCTGCAGCCACCAGACAGTCTCGGAGTCCGTCTCTTAGGTTCCAACACATCTCATACAGCTCACTCTTCCTACACACGCACACATTTAAAGAACGATGATAGTGCTATTTAAAGAACCGTGTAAAGCAGATAGAAAGCGGGTTCCGATGGAAAAGGTCTTCAGATCGATTCGTCATGAAGAACATTCATAGTAATGCTAACAGAGTCTATAAACAACAAACAAACAGGCTACTAGCCAGCTAACATTTAACCTAGCAGTGGGTGTTAGCTGCAAAGCCAAAGCTAAGGGTTCTCTAACCGATGAACCACCGGAGAACTGACCGATAGAAAGCTTCCCCCAGCGGGTTCCAGTTGGCTGTGATAAACGTCATCGTGCTCGTCTCCTGAGGGACGCCCGTCTTCTACGTGATGGCTCTGTCAGCATTAAGCTAACGTCAAGTCAGTCAGTCAGGTGATGCTGCTGCTTCTTCTTCTTCTTCTTCTTCTTCTTCTTCTACGATCCATTAGATGTCGCCCACTGGTGGCCGCAGATATTTATTAAAGTAAAACTGTCTTCATTCATTATGATCTGTACTAAAAACCATACAAAGATTAATATAAGTCATAACCTAAATATATATAGTTAATCAAATAAACTACAGCTAATATTAAAACGAATATAACACAAAATAATGCAAAGGTTGAATTATATTTACAACAAAGCAAAAACCGAAATGAAAATACTAACACGGACATTAACATAACAATACAAATATAACAGTAACCATAATACTAATAGCAATACTAACAGTAATGCTAATATAAGTACTAAAACTAACACTAATGGTAATACTAGTACTCTAGTACTAATACTACTATGTGCCATCAGGATGTTATAAACATCCAATCTGTTGAATTCCTCACATCCCAACCACGTGATGTGAGCTCTTCCTCTTGCTTCCACTGTGACCTAACCGGTGTTATTACAGTGACATGATTAGACAGGTCTGAACCGTGTCTGGTTCCGTTGGTTCCTGGTCAACAACTTTACATTTATGTTTGAGTCTTTGACGTCTGATATTAATGCTGTTTTGTTCAGCGAAATTGTGGAAACAGGAAACAGGAAACAAACCAGTTATTCAACACAAAGAAAGAGGACGTGGGGAGGAGGGGGCGAGAGACCGAGAGAGAGGGAGAGAGATTCTCCGGGTTTCCCCCTTCTCACACAAACAGCCCTGCCCGGTTGTCGTGGTACCCCCCCCCCCCCCCCCCTCCCCCTCCCCTTCTATCTGGGTGTGGTAGAGAGACATTGAGCTTCAGGCTGAACTCAGCAGTTAACCCTATATTTGATTCAAACGTTAAATCTCCATATTTATAGTTATCATAAATATTTTAATTCAAGATTTATTTTCAATCGACCTGGAAATAAGTATTTATTGTTTCTTTTTGTGGTTTAAGTTAACATTCATTCAGTTCAGTCAGTTTTTGGGGTCAACAGGTCCCCTCAGAACTATCAATATCTTTAGTAAAGTATATATTTTTTTAATTTTAAGTTTTTAAGAGTTTGGGAGAGTTTTTAATCATTACATTTTGTTCCTGTTCTTTTTTTAATGAGCTTGTCAGCCTTTAAAGTTAAAAAGTTAAACTGTTCATGTGGTGGCAGTGAAGCAGTTAAAGGTGTGGAAGTTACATGGAAAGTTTTCCTATGAGCTAACCAACCAGCGCGCAGCACACACACACACACACACACACACACACACACACAAGGAGATCTGTGTTTTTGGGAAGCAGAGAAACGTTCTGCAGTTTGGATCCGAGTCGTCCCTACGACCAGTGAGGACATCATGGTGACCACTGAGACCCACCAGAGCCAGGACCTCCTGGTGCCCCCTCTGAACCAGGACCAGCAGGACCAGCAAGACCAGCAGGACCATCAGCAGGACCATCAGCAGGACCAGGTTTCTCCCTTATCTGCCCTGGTGGGCTTTGATCCAGAGACCATAAGCCAGGGTCCTGTTAACGCCATTACGGTCCTCACTCTGCTGGACAAGCTGGTCAACATGCTGGACGCGGTGCAGGAGAACCAGAACAAGATGGAGGTGAGTTCTGGACCACACCCCGAGACCAGTTCTCAGCATGGCAATCCGGTACTGAGACCAGTACTAACACCTGAAGATATGTGTCGTACAGACGTGTATAAATGAGACGTGTGTAGTGAAGATGTGCGTAATACAGACTTGTGTAGTTAGGACGTCAATAGTGTAGTGTAGTAAAACGTGTAGTACAAACCTGGGTTCTTGAGACGCGTGTAGTACAAATGTTTGTAATACAAACTTGTGCAGTTAAGACGTGCGTAATTAAGATGTGTGTAGCACAAACGTGTGTAAGTGAGATGTGTGTAGTTGAGACGTGTGTAGTAGAAACGTGTGCAGGTGAGATGTGTGTAGTACAGACATGTACATGTGTTAAGTAGTTGGTAGTAGGTAAGACAATATCTGCTGACATGGAAACAGTCTCAAGAATCTATTTGCTGATTTTCTGTCTGACTCGATCTTGTTTTTGATCACAGAGATCTGACTGAGGTCACATGGCCCTCTACAGCTCTGATGTTAGCTGACAAGTGACAACCACATATCTGGTGAAATTTATTTAAAACAGACAAAGCTTCAGACAAACTGCTTCCTGTTTGGTTTAGTTTATTTAGAGCTTGTCATGATAAACGTTGTGAAATCCTAACACTGTAGTAAGTGTGGAACCAACGTTAGCGGGGTACGCTAGCAAATCACTAACGAGCAGTAGCACCTTTATGCTAGGTGGTCCTGTTAGCAGTCGGCCAAAGACTCTACAATACAATAAAAGTGAGCCAAAAAAAGCTACAGCAGTGAAGTAACGTCGGTTTTTAGCAGCCGGGGTTTGGAGAGGCACTGAGCTGTTCGGGTAGACCCTCCTAACATTAACCTTCCAGGTGATTCATAGAAATGCTTCAGTCATTGGTTGGTTGTGTTTCAGGTGCATCAGGTGGAGATGGAGGGCGTGGTGAGAGGAATCCAGGCCGATATGACCAAACTGTCCAAGAGCCACAGTCACACCTCCAACACCGTTAGCAAGCTGCTGGACAAGAGCCGCAAGCTCTCCGTCACCATGAAGGAGGTAAACACACCACACTTGTATCCGGCTATATCTGTTACAGCTGTCTCTAGATGTACACCTAACTTGTCTCTAACAATATGTTCAACTGTTCCTGAAGGTCCGTGATAAGATGGAGCGTCAGGGTGTACAGGTGAAGAAGCTGGAGATGAACCACCATCACCTCATCAGCAGGAACAACTTCAAAGTTCTCATCTTCCAAGTGAGCGTGATGAAAGGTCAATTAGAGGAGCTCAGAGTTAACATTCTCGAGGGACTCAAGGTCTTTCTTCATCTGTAAAGTTTTATCTAGACATTACGGTTCTCCACAAGGGAGTTCTCCTCAGAGAGAATGATTCTCCTCATATGCTATAGGTCTCCATAGGCATAATTATTAATCTACACATACTATGGTTCTCCACAAAAGCCCTGGTTCTCCTTATATAGTAAGGTTCTCCACTGATGGTATGGTTTTCTACACACATATATTAAGGTTCTCCATAGACAGCATGATTCTCCATGGATAGTAAGGTTCACCAGCTCCCTTGTTTTCTATTTTTCATTTTCAATCTGTGTCCTTATTTGGTCGTTCGCTGCTGAAGGAACTGAACTGCAGAAACAGACACAGAGGTCAGAGTGAGTTGGCATCATGTGATCTGGCACTCACGGTTACAACAAAGTGAGTTATACAGAGGACTCAACGTGTTCGAGTGCTGATAGCTGACTGCCTCAGTTATAATATGATTATAGGTAACTGAAGGTAACAACTGTACATGGTGGTCATGTTCTCTAACCCACGGGTCATCAGTGTGTGTATTTTTTTGTCTTATTTCATCGCCCCTAAACATTCCGGTTCTCCCTAAAATAGCCAGCATTCCTCTTTGTAAGTGTGACATGGCCCAGTGGGTGTGGTCTTTTGTCGACCCCTTAACCCTTTCAGCTCTTCCCTTCTGGTCTTCATCTTCCTATTTTGACCTTTTTTGATTTATACTATAATGGATGTTCCACTATTGGCTCCCTAACTTTTGTGAAATGGGGCCTAGTGGCCCCACCACGTGAAACCTTTACATTCTCCAGGACAGTGAATATCTTCTCTTTGCTTCTCCAGGAGGAGAACGAGATCCCCTCCAGTGTCTTTGTGAAAGATCCTCCTCCGTTCCCTCGTGATGAGATTTTGGAAGAAGGTGATGAATCAATCACGGGTGTCACCGACGGCAACTATTCCCAAGAGGGCGGGCTTCACACCATCGACCTATCGTCTGACGAGGACGTAGGGCTGGAGGCAGAGCAAGAGGAGGAGGAGGAGATGTGGCCTCATGATCTGGAGAACATGGAAAAGTCCAGAGCAGAGAAACTGAAGCATTCCAGTCTAAAGAAGGTGAAAGCCACAGACCACAGACATGCAGACAGACAGTCAGATAGACAGGTGTAATTGATTTTCTCTCTGCAGGTGGACAGTCTGAAGAAGGCGTTCTCCAGGCAGAACATTGAGAAGAAGATGACAAAGATCGGGACTAAGATTGTTTCCCAAGAACAACGGGAGAAGATAAAGAAAAAAACCTCCAGTCTGAAGGTTTCCCCTCTGACCTTCAACATCAGGAAGGTAGTCCTGATGTGCTTCCTGTTGTTCTCCGTGAATCGGAATATTATCAAGCCTTTTAGCTGGTTCCAATAGGTCCTCCTCAGACTTCCTCCTCTAACCTAACGGGTTGACGTGGTGCAGGGGTAGAGAGGGTGAGCTGGGAACCACAAGGTTGGTGGTTCGAGCCCTGGCTGCTCCATGTCCCATGTCGAAGTGTCCCTCAGCAAGACACCTAACCCCTAATTGCTCCCTGGGTGAAAATGTAAAAACCATGGGTTAAAATGCAATGTAAGTCGCGACCTGTAATGTAATGTAATGTAACCTTACTTTACTCTACATGGTTCCCCCAAGATTCTTCTAAAATTCCTCTTTACTTCCCCTAAAGTTCCTTAAACATTCCTCTCTGGTTCCCCCAAGGTTCCTCTAAAATTACTCCATGGTTCTATCAAGGGTTCCTCTAACATCCCTCTATGGTTCAACTCACCATTTCCAAAAGTGCCCAAAGTTTGCTTGATTAGTCTTCCCGGTTTGACTTCAGGTCCATCACAGCTGGTCCACTGAATTTCTGCTGAGGGTTAAAGAACGTTGTCTTAATGATGGGGTTACGCAGTTTGTTTCACTTCCTGTGACCTGTGGTTTTCTGTGTCTTCAGCCTCGGAGCAGCTCCAACATTCAACCCCCCGATGCTAGCCCCCAGGTCGAGGACTCGGTGATCGTGGAGGCCGACATTCAGCTATCTCCATTGGGCAGTGCCGACCCGGAATTCAGCAAGGTCCACGCCCAGCTGGCTCCAGACGAGCCGGTGAAGGATGACGAGGAGAATGAGGAAGAGCAGGAGGAAAACAGGGAGAAGCAGGAGAACCAAGAGGAGATGGTGGAGGAGAAAGAGGAGGACCAAGAGGAGATGGTGGAGGAGAAGGAGGAGGAACAAGAGGAGAAAGGGAAGGGAGGTGTGGAGGCGGATCTGTCAGTGGTTTCAGAGGGAGTGATTTAGGGGTATGCTTTGTGCTCCATGCTGCCTCAACAGGAGGAGGAAGAAACATAACTATCTGACTGTAAAGAAACAGTTCAACATTTAGTGAAGACCTTCAGATCAATAGTTTAGTATTAGTCACGTCAACAATGTTCAGTCTACTTAACAGTAAAGACTAAATGTAACTTGCTTAGCATAAAGACTATGAGCAACTGGCTTAGCACAAATACTGGGAATTGCTAGTTTAGGATTAAGACTGAGTTTTGCATAAAGACCGGGAATAGCTAGCTTACCTTTGTCAGAGAGAAAGAGAAGAAGAGTTCAGTAAATGTTGAACTGTGGCTTTAAAATCGTATTAATGGGACTACATTTTAACTATTGATTTCTACATTTAGGTTTAGAATGAAGTCAGAGAATTTTTAACATTTTATTCTTCAACTGATTTGAATGAGTAACAATAATATAACAATAATTATGTAATGTATTACTTATATAAAACACCCAGACTAACAATCAGTCATCAATATAGTTATCTTACACACATTAGCACGCAAAACCTCAGGATCTTTGAGAAATCTGATGTTCCTCTGTTCTTTGACATGTAACGTTATTCTTATGCTTTGAGGTTCCTCTAAGGTTCTACTGCTGTTTTCCCTTTTTCTCAAAGTTCATCAAAAGGTTGCCCAAACATCTCATAAAGGATTTTTCTTTCACTAAAAGTACCTCCAACATTCGGATGTTCCCTTTAAACAGAGTTTCCTTTAGGGTTATATAAGTTTATACTTATAGAAGTTAAATTATAAATATACAATTTAATACTGTGTTAAAAAAAGACTCCTGTTTTTTTCACATTGTTGTCATCAGTTTTTAAGTCTTAGTCGTTGTTGTTTTTGTTGTACTTATATATATGAGCTTTGCTGCCAAAAACCTTTTCTCTTTCAACAGTATTGTAAGAATTACCTGAACTTTTATAATCAATAAAATCTGTGTAACCACTGTCCATGTTTCCTGGCACTCAACTTATATTAATGAACATGTGGATGGTGGTTATGTCTCATGCTTGTTTTCCCTGCAGTGGTCCTGACGTACACCTGCTGTCCCCTTACTTGTCTGAGGGTGTGCAAGCTTTACGGTGGCTGGTTGAACTTTGCTCCTGAAGGCTTATAGGCAGTCCTCCACCCCGGCCTTCTTTAACGATGTCTGAATCCTGATCCTAGTTGTTTCCCTGATCCAGTCCTGGTTCTTTCTGAGGAAACTACACAAACTCAGAAAGGACGACGATGTGAACAAGACAAAAAATGCAGAGACTGGGAATTTCTTCTTAAAAGTGAAATTATCACCAACAAAATTGATCGTTAATTAGACGGCCGTTTATGGCTCATGTTCCCATACTTTTTATGTCACAAGACATCTTTGCAAAAAATTACCAACATTACTTGATTATTAAACCAACACAAAATGAACAGTCTTCATATTTATTATTTCATCTTCACACAGGTTTGATTATGAGTTCCATTAAATATATATAATTACTATTGTGAATGACCTGGTTAGTTTGACTTCTTGATGAGCTTGCTGATGGACATGAAGGCCTGCAGGAGGCCGAGGCCCTTCAGTGCGCTGCAGGCCTGAATCTCCCAAAGACGGTCATCATGACTCTGGAGATCCAGCTGATTGGAGATCTGAGGGGAATAATGTAAGACAATTAAGATGAACTGGTTTGTCCTGAGATGAACTGGGTCTTCTTTGTGTGCTCCTACCTCTCGGATGTTCATGGAATTGGCAAGGTCCTTCTTGTTGGCCAGAACCATTAGAGGAACTCCTCGTAGCTTCTCCTCACTGAGGACCTTCTTTAAGACCTTCTGGGCCTCTGGTAGTCGGGCCGGATCACTGCTGTCCACCACAAACACCAGAGCCTTACAGTCGTCCAGGTAGTATCTGATGACAGCGGGGTAGGAGGTGAATGGCTTTGCTTGTTTGTTTATATTTGTTTGTGATTGTTTGTTCACCTCCAGTTGGCTCTCATGCTCTTCTGTCCTCCAACGTCCCAAACAGTCAGAGATGTCTTCTTGTCCAGCTCCAGAGATCCAACGTTGAATCCAACGGTTGGAGACGTTTCCACAACCTGAAAGGCAACAGACGATCTCATTCATACCTGGATATGACAATGACTGTACCTGTCTATGAGGATATCCAAACCTGGACACGATGCTATCTACACCTGGATTAGATGATGTCTACACCTGGATACAATATCTACTCCTGGGTACTGTAGTGGAAGAAAGGCTCCGAATCAAACAAGAGATGAAAAAGAGAGCCTATGTCTCCGTTTATTTCCTTGCAAGGGGAAAAAAGTCACAATAGCTACGTGCTCGGTTTTTTTGTTACATACACTGCAAGGCCGTTCTTATACCTCAGTCCAGTTACAGGTGGCATCAACAGAAACTTGCTTACATGCGAACCAACTTGTTGTTACTCTACAGCCAGAAGACTGGAGACATCTTATCAGTGTGAGACACTTTAGCTCAATACTTTCCCATAGCCAATCCCAGCACCTACAATCTATAAACTGTTCACACAATGAAACATTTGAAGGGTTACATGTATTTTTCCCATTACAATACTACATCAACACCTGGATATGATGATGTTTACATCTGGGCAGTGGACACAACAATACCAACTGGAATTAATGATATCTAAATTTGGACACACTAATGGTGCGTTTACACACGAAATGCGAGGCGACTGACCCACGCCCCAGGATTACATACAAAGCCTATGCAAGGACGCGATGAGACTGGGAAGGTGGTGAAGTCCGATCCACAATTCGAGCCGAAGAGCTATCAAACAGCTAACGGCTAGCATCATGGAAGTTCCTGTAGAGGTCAGTTCAAATTCACCAAGCTGTGTGCGCCTATGGATGCTATTTTGAACCAAAACATGACATGTTTCGGTGGTCAAACATAAGTAGGACTTTAACAACAGTAGAGTCGCCATGTCCTTCATGGTTGATGTGGGAGAAAAACAATAGCGGAAAGTTTATCTGTTTTCAGGCCGATATGCCACACTCCCTCTTCGATGCGTCTAGCACAATTGACGCAAATTGACTAGAATCGGGAATCAGGAACATTTATTACCAAAATATGTTGGTGCATAATCCTCAAATTCTGCAGCGTGTTTAGATCGTTTGAGGGGACGCAAAGCATTTGCGTTGCTTTTGGTGTGAACGTAGCATAATCATCACACATGATTACACACCACTACATTTACTGGTTGGACAAACCTGTACTCACCTTTCCTGTCAGCAATCTGGCCAATAGAGTTGACTTCCCCGCCAAGTCCAAGCCCATCAGTACCACCTGAAATTACAAACACGCCTATACACGTTATAGTTCACATTCCTGATCATTAACATCAGATGATTGAGAAAAGGCGAGTTCACCTGAGGAGAGACAGAGCTGTCAGTCTGACCCATCACTCTTTTTCTTCGTCTGCTGATGTCGACCTTATGTCGGACTGAAGCTCACATCTTTCAGGTGTGTTCATGTTCAGTGAGGCTGTCTGCCAAAGCAGCGTCCAATAAGAGCAGATCATGTGACCGCAATACAGGTCTGACTGCATGTTTGTACTCCAGGCAGGTTGAGTCAGTCTTTAAACCTACAGAAAAGAGAAGAAATAACACTGCAGTCACAATTCAATGAACTCATCAAACAGATGTGTTGTTTGACTTCTGTGATGATTTAAATCCACATTTTACATGTATAATGTTTACAGCCAATAAAACAAAGACCCTTAAAAAAAAAAAAAAAGAAAGAAAAAGAAGCAACATAAGAAGATGCATTTCTCCACCCCCCTCCTCATTCTTCTCCTCCAGACTCGCGTTGAGAAGGAGGAGTTGAGGCCGGTGAGGAGGGGTCTATCCCGCGGTATAAAGTTGGCCTCTTTCCGCCTCCTCCCTCCTTCTCGTGCTCCTCCGGCGACTCCTTCGTACCTCCTCACGGACCGTCATCATGGGCTTCGGTGATCTGAAATCCGCCTCCGGAATCAAAGTGCTGAATGACTTCCTGTCGGAGCGCAGCTACATCGAGGGGTCAGTACGGCGGAGCCCGGTGGTGGAACCTCGGCTAAAGACAAAATAACGTCCCCAAGCCGCAACGAGCAGCGGCACCTCGGCCGCCATGTTGCCTCTGGTTAGCACGTAGTTAGCATTAGCATGTAGCCGACGGTCCGTTATTAACTAATTTAACTGACTTAAGCATATGTAAAATGCCCGTCCTCACTGCTGAAGTAGAGTTAACCGACAATCTGAGGGTGCAAGTCTAGTTCAACTTTATTGATAGTGATCGTATATCTATAGCTAGCTGCATTGTTAGCATTAAGCCACATGGCTCTAAAGAGCGAACTCAATTAGGTCTACCTAACGTGGCTTCACTGCATCACGGTCTAACTAGTTCAACGACGAAAAGACTGATCATTTAGGTCTACCTGATAACTTACTCGTTTAGAAATTAGTACGGCATTAGTAGTTATGATTGGTCATATTGAAGACCTGTTAATAAAACATTATCAGCAGCTGTTTGACACGTGCGTTTATCAAACGACTGGAAATCCACAATGACTCGTCAGACCTGTCTTATAGTACAGGTCAACTATTGACAGTATGCTAGTAATTAACAGTTAATAGAATATTATCTGATATGGTGTCAGTGTGCGTGGTCCCCTCGTTTCCTAAAGGAAACCAGGTGAGGGTACCAGCAAGAACCCTTTGCTCTCGTGACGTGTAGACTGAAGAGCCAGTTGCCTGTTCGCTACAGTGTAGTTTGTACTCTGAGCTTCCTTTTGTGTGATCAACATTTGTGACCAATCAACTGATCAGTATTTTACTGTGCATTTAACCGTCCGTGTCCTCAGGTATGTTCCCTCTCAGGCTGATGTGGCCGTCTTTGAGTCGATCTCTGCTCCGCCCACTGCCGACCTGTGCCACGCCCTCCGCTGGTACAACCACATCAAGTCCTACAACAACCAGAAGAGCAGGTGAGGATGGGGTCAGGTGTGTGTGTCCCCCGCACAGGTGGGTTGGGCATCGTCAGTGACTACACCTCCTCTTGGCAGTCTCCCAGGTGTGAAGAAGCCTCTGGGTCAGTACGGCCCAGCTGGTGTTGCCGACACCACCTCTGGCGGCGGAGATGATGATGACGATGACATTGACCTTTTCGGATCTGACGACGAGGTGCGCTCAAAGTGATGTCATCGATGCACTCGTCAACTAATGATGAGCTATTGTCAAAAGTTAAACCGTTCCGCTGTGTGGTCTCAGGAGGATGCAGAAACAGCCCGACTGAAGGAGGAGCGCCTAGCAGAATACGCTGCAAGGAAGTCAAAAAGTAGGTCCCACCCACCAGAGTATTTATCTGCTACGACTGGACGACTCTTTATGATGATCAACCAATCACCATCTTTCGGCTGACAGCCTGATGTACACTTTGTTTACCTGAGAGTCTGCTGGCTCCTGTGATGCCAGGTTCAGACTAGTTTCCATGACTAACTGACGCCCCACCCCCCTCCAGAGCCCACCCTCATCGCCAAATCTTCAATCCTATTGGACGTGAAGCCGTGGGACGACGAGACCGACATGTCCAAGCTAGAGGAGTGTGTCCGTACTATTCAGATGGACGGGCTCGTCTGGGGACAATGTAAGAATACTACATAATCACTAAAAAGACAAGTCAGTTTAAAAAAAAAAAAAATTCAATTAACATCACTGTTTCTAAACCCAGCCAGCGAAGGCTACCATGACCCAAACACTCGTAATTTGACTATCACTTTTAAAAAGTTAGTAATGTTAATTCATACATTTCAACAAATCTCATTAACGTATATTATATATACCTAAATATATTAACATGTGGAAGTGTTTAAGTGGGATATCTTATTGTTAAAGGCCAACATTGATTTAGTAATTTTGGTAAACCTTTAACCAATATTTAATCTCCGCAAAAAAAACAAGTTTACGATGACTATGGAAGTGCGTCCGGGTCATGGCTGTCCCAGCGCACCGCTAGTTCACTGTCCTTTTTACTTTCATAATTAAAACGGTATTTGGCTTGACGGGTAAGGAGCCAACGCTTACTTTAACCGTTAAATCACCGTAAAACATTACAAAAGTATTTTAATAGTTTTACCGGATAGTTTGCTAAAACTGTCTGGGTTTGGAAACTGTGACATCAGTTATTGATCGATTGAAGCACTCTTGATGATGATCCAACTCACCATCTTTCAACTGAATGTGTGATGTCACTACCTGGTCTGAAAATGCTGCATCAAAACGCGTTATTGATTCAGTTATTGATCACTGCTGATTACCTATCAATAAAATTGCTTGAATCCTGCAGCAAAACTCGTCCCTGTTGGCTACGGAATCAAGAAGCTGCAGATCGGATGTGTGGTGGAAGATGACAAGGTGAGTCCACTCACCTGTGGCCCAGTACCAGCATTCACTTCATTTTGTTGTTGTTTACCTGTGTTTTTTTACCTGTGTTGATCAGGTGGGCACAGACCTCCTGGAGGAACACATCTTGGCCTTTGAGGACTTTGTCCAGTCAATGGACGTCGCCGCTTTCAACAAGATCTGAAAACAAACATGTTAATAAAAAAAGCACTTTAACGCAAAACACTTGTCTTTTATTTAGAAGCCTTAATAGCTGTCAGTTTTGATGTCATATTAAAGAACATGCCTGTTAACCTCCCCTCAAACTGTTTACGAAGGTTAAAGGGTATAAACTTGTATATACAAAACACTGTCTAACCCGCAAAACACGTGTACTAAAAGATCACATGACCTGAGAACAGCCACCGGTTAACCGGGATAAATGAGTCATTCTACCTCCGGCCGCTTGGCCGCAGCAACGTTCAGCCTGACGACTCCAACCGGAAACTGCAGTGCCGAAGCAGCGCGCGGCGGATGGTAAACTGCTACAGGTGAACAAACTGATCAAGTAGTAATGGATCGAACCACCCAATGAGTGTCGTGACACGCGTGCGTACAGTAAGAACGCGTCACTAAGGTTTCGGCCCGGTGCGGCAGCTCCTGTCAACTAATGAGCCACGGTGGGCTTGATGTTCTTCACTCGGCGCTATTATAGGAACCTTGAAGTGGATTCTGTCTCGTTTCCGTTTAGTAAAGCCGGACAAATCGATTAAGAGAACAAAGTATAAGTGAAAGTCCAGTGTGATTTCATTACTATAACCTAATCAGGGCGGGAACGTGCTCTTGTAGGTGCGCCAGGTGTCTGACAGACTTTAATAACGGTCGGGGAAACACATGGATATAAATAGGTGGCTAGCTAGCTGCTGTAGATGCACAAACGGTAAGGTGTCGTTAGCTGCTGCTAGAACGTCACAGGCTAAATATAGTATTTCAATCGGCTCAGTCACAGAAATCTGCGTTTCTGTCCGGTAGCTACGGCCGTATAGGAACCGAACACAATATGGCTAAGGTGATATATTTAGCAGGCTCGTGGACTCCAGCTGGAACTCTCACTCGGTTACCCGTGGTTACTATATGGAGCGCTGTTATTGGCTGGATGACCCACTGGCTCCAGGTATGACGTTCTTATATCATTAACATCCCGTTAACGTTATTAATGCTGAGGTCAATTTGTTATCATACGAATATTTAATACATGTGTTTCAGATTACCAGTCAGCAGGATGTCAGAGCGTGATGAAGGTAAACAATTAGACACACTAATGTTGTGTGTAATGTTTAATTCACAACTGTGTGTGTGTGTGTGTGTGTGTGTGTGTGTGTGTGTGTGTGTGTGTGTGTGTGTGCGCGCGCGCGCGCGCCCCCTCCCGTCAGGTGACCAAAAGGAGAATTCCACTAGCAGGTGAGTCTACGTGTTGATTAATAGTTTAACTACTAGTAACTATTTAGTAAACGCCACATTCTAATGTGGACTTTAATAAACATATTGATCTTAACAAAAAAGGTGACAAACTAGATTACCAAAGACTGATAGATAAACAGGTGAGTGACGTGGACGGGAGGGTTGTGTAGTCAGTGTGTTTACATGATGGTATAATTGTAATCTTTGCTTAGTCGGACTATGCTCTCTTTCGGGGCAAGTGCTGTTATCCCAATATACATGGCAGTGAATAAATCGAATCATTGGCCGAAAGCATGTCATATCCGATACGATAGATGGCGCTGTTTTCATTACAACTAGTTGTGATACAGCCATTTCCGCTTGACCGCTTCACCACTACCAACAACAAGCAACAACATCAACATTACGAGAAAGATGACGAGCGGAGAGCAAGGTGAAGCTACATCCCTCTACTGTTTTTGCATGATGTTAATAGGAGTACATCGAATGCGAATGGCGCTATTGGCTGATTTGATAACGGAGAGAAGACGCCGTTGCGATCTCAAGCATGCGCGAAGACGCAAAGTCCAGTTCCTCATCCGATTCACCGTTACATGCCGCAATAGTCGAACTATCAACTGGATCGGATCAAGTTATCCAGGGGTGTTAGTCGGATCGTAGTCGGAACGCACGTAGTCCGACAAAGGTGTTTACATGAAACGGATCATTCGATTTCAGTCCGACTAAGCCAGTTATTCAAATCCATGTAACCACGCTGAGGTAGAAAGGTGAACTCTCAAGACAATTTGTTTGAATTAAAATAGGTGCAACTGCATTTTTTGGACTGGACTGGATTTAGAGAGTTTTACAGGTGTGCGACACACACAGTCATTACTGTGTGTTATGGTTATGGTTACTACATCAGTCCATGTCTGACAGGATGTGTGGGGAGTGTCAGCCAGGACCGTCTGGGTGTGAGCCGAGCAGACAGGGTTACTGTGGATACTGCAGAGTCCTCTACAACAACCTGCACCAGGTGCACCTCACATATACTTCATGTGTTCACCTGAACTTCTGTCATGTGACCAGAGCAGTTCCATCATAATTAATAACATTGTACCATCTTCTCAGCACCTGTCCAGTCTCAGACACCTGGATTCTGTCCGTGCATCGCCCCGAGGCTCCAGCACTGTCTCCTCTTCCATCAGCAGCACAAGCAAACTAACTCTGCTGGAACGCTTCCTGCAGGATGTGCTGCAACACCACCCGCATCGCTACAACGACCCCAGGTAACTAAAACAAGCACACCTGCACCGCTAAAACAACTCCAGGTTACTAAAATATGCACACCTGCACCGCTACAAAGACTTGAGGTGACTAAAACAAATATATTTCTTTCATTAGCAGAGGGTTAGGTAACATAAGTATCATGTTCAAATCTTAATTGTTTTATGTTCGGGATTTGTTTCTCCAACAGACCATCTCATGCTGACCTCCCGCCAGTCTGTACCCCTTTTTTTCCAAGGACAGAACTTAATGAACTCGGTTTCTGTGACGATGACAGGCGGTCGCTGGGGACCTGTGAACATCTGTCCAGTTCTGACAACGCCGCCAACCAACCGGTCAATCAGAAGGAAGACAACCGCACACAGAGTCAATTATTCACAGGGTTTGGGAGTCAGCAGGCGCTGTCTGGGCCAATCAGAGAGCAAGAAGACAGAGACATCCTCACCGCAGGGAACATAATGTCGTCGCAAGTACACACCCCGCCCCCACACCATCAGGCCCCGTCACCTGTTCACAGGAAGGCCCACAGGAAGACCAACAGGAGGAAAACCACCGGCACCACCTCAGTACCGCGTCCAGACACTGGTCGCGGAGTAAACCCCGGTTCCCGGTCCTCCTTCCCCTGGCAGAGGGAGGGAAGGGAGGCATTTTCCTTGGGTCGGACCACGGAGGAGGTTTGTTTGTTTCAATCAAATCTTCATCTGGTCCGCAAAATTTATCGTAATTTTTGGTTGAATGTCAGGTGATCCAGGTCTGTTGCCATGGTGTCGGTTCCATTCTCTACCAGCAGGAGAAGTCAGAGAGCTTCGAGTTCAGCCTTCCCGTCTCCATGGAAACACAAAGTGAGGACTGGGACACACCTGTGCAGGTAGCCATGACCCAGCTGGAGGAGGTTTGATTGGTTGAGGCTCCATTGTGAAAGATTTGATTGTTTTCTGCTTTCACAGAGAGAACCAATACGGGACGCACCTATCCAGGTGAGCACTGCACGGGGGCACGACCTGAGCGGTCTGATGGACGTGGAGGTGGCCCTGGAAGACCAGGTTTACTCCTGCCAGCTAGACTCTGCCCTCCACAGTGAGCGACGGTCAAGCGGCAGGGCCCAGATGGACTTGGGCTTCTGGACTTTGCCGATAGAGGAGGTCTTACCGGCTCCGGAACATATCCCAGAATCTTTCAAGGGGAAGACCTGGACCCAGATTGAACAGGAGGACGAGGGAAGAGTTGACAAGCTGGTCCGACAGTTCAGACGGGGGCAATTCATCTGCTACTTTGACACAGAGTCTCTGGCCATGTACATTAAAGACTCACCTGTTCTGTATTTATTTGTCATCACCTGTGTTTAATAGACCTAACTGTACTCATGTACATACATACCTTTTTTTACATACCTTTTCTTTTTCAACGCTTACAGGTACGGGAGGAGGGGTGAAAACAAGGAGGAGGAGCCAACCAATAGTATCCTGCCGTTATTAGACTGCAATGACAATGCCTCACCGTACGTTAGGAGGAGAAAGGGGCGGGCATTCAGAGTAGCGTCCAGGTGTCAGGTGAGAACGACAGACAGCGTTTTCTGTAAGTTGTTGTAAGGTAATTTCTTCAACACCTGCATTTGTTCCTTCAGGTTGTCAAAATCAGCCACAGCACTCAGACGATACGATTCGTCGTCCCAACCCTCCCTGAACCAGCTTCGGAGACCCTGGCCCCTAGCGTCCCTACAGCCCATCAGGAAGCAGCAGAGAGGACTCCCGAGGGGCAGACATGGCGCTGCCTTCCGCCATCATACTTGGGTATCGTCACACCTCTGCAGCCTCGCACCTCTCTGGTCTACCTGATCTGCTCCCCCTCAGGCTCCACCCCCTCCTACAACCCTGCAATAGGCTATGCCCTCAAACGATGTAGGAAGAAGAGGCGTCCGTTAGACGCTCAAGGGTTAAAGGTCAAATACAAACAGTTTCCTATCAGGTTGTACGACCCCACCAGCAATCGCATCCTGAAAAATCACCCGAAAGGCTTTGTTCCTTACACCTCCCCCCCACGGTGCGTCCGTCACCTTTTCAGAAGTCTTAGTCTAGACCTGAACGCCGACAGGCCGCTTGGTTGGGGGGGCATAGGGTCCTTCAGGATCAAAGGTCAGAGGTCATTAAACAAGCCCTTAGGCCAAGGCAAAGGTACTAAGGACACAGTCGGGAGGCGGGGGAGGACAGCTCAAAACCCGCCCACTTTTCCTCATAGCAGGGGGGGGAGGAGGGATAGGAGACGTCCCTCCTCCATAAAGAAGAGAACCAGGGATAAGGCCCCCGCACACACAGCCCAGGAGAGAAGGCCTACGCCGAGCAGGACCCGGCAGTAAAGCCCTGTGTTTAACCCGCTGGGGAATGCCTGCAGGGCTACAAGAGGGGGCAGGGATAGCTAGGTCCTATGGTCAAGTCACCTGTTTAAGTACCTAGGTCACCTTTTCAGGTAGCTAGGTCACCTGTTCAGGTAGTATGTTACCTCTTCAGGCAGCAGGTCACCTGTTCAGCTAGCTTTCATGTTCATGTTCAGGATCCATGTTCAACCTGATGCCTTTAATGAATAATAACTGTTTCAAAGAGACTGATTAGAATGAAATCATCTCATCAATATAAAAATGTAATGTTATGTTTGTGTGTAGAAGAATTATTAATAATAACTACATTCTGATTTAAATATACTTTTTTATTTCATGAAATGGTAAGAAAAAAGCCAACATCTGAGCTTTTTAAAAATTGTAAAAATTCACTGAAATAGTGAATGATGACTTTGTTTTATTATAATGATCCTGTAATACTACATGACCGGTCATTGACACCTGTTTTAAAAAAAATACTTTTACACTTTATTTATAGATCAATAAGTTAATGTGGAATAAAAATCTATTGTAAGTTCAATGTTAGTCATTACTATGCTTCAACTCTCACAGTGTCCACCAGGCGGCGTATCGAGTCACACACCTGGTCTGCAGCAACAAGAAGCTCCGCCCTGTTCCTCTCACCTGGAGACAGCAAATGAAAAATAAAATCAACTTTAAAGATTAACATAATTGTTGAATCAAAGTAAATCCAACTATTCAGTTCAGTGAGTTAGTTTGATTTATTGTATTTATTTATTTGACCTTTAATTAACCAGGTAAAATCAGGGGAAAGTGGGATGAGTTGTGCCAGTTTTTACTCAAAGTGACTTTAAAGTGAGGCTATGACAGTAATGCCTTAAACTTAAGGATGTGCATATGTTTCAGGATGTGGTGCATCCCTGAGAACAATAACTTTGGATCTGAAATAAATTGTTCCATATAGCTTTTGGGAAAAATGTGGTCTTGTGGCACAACTTGCCCCTGGTGCGGGGTAAGTTGTGCCTTTGGGGGTGTTTTAAAAAATTACATGATTTAGGAGTTAAGAGCTAACATCCTGCTAACTCTATAGACTCATTGTGTAGCCTGCTAAAGCCTGCCTACTAAAACATGTGTGAACTTGTCTACAATTGTTTAGACACTACAATCAAAACACCTAAATAATAGACATTTTACTTTTAAAGGAAAAAATGAACGTCTTCATGAGAGAAAATGTGCTTACCTCTCATGCAATGTATCTCTCTTCTTTGGAGGATGAGTAAAATGGAGGACTTTTCGAAATTATGTGGTCACATGACCAATTACTTGGTTACTATGGTTTTCCAGAAACAGTGGATCTACTTTTGTGCCCCCCCCCGGCACAAATCACCCCACTCTCCCCTACAATGATGACCTGGCCAAGAGGCAGTAGCACAGTCCACATAAGTGACCCAATACAGTATAACAAACAAATAGCTAAAAACAACATTGTTAAATGAATAGACACTATGTACAAAAAAAGGCAGATTACTTCTTAAGTTCTTTGTAAAAATGGAAGGGAGAGAGAGAAGTGAGGGCTGATCAGCAAGTACAGCTGTCAACTACGGCTTGTTGCAGCTTTTGTTTAAACATCTTGAGAGGGGAGGGCTGTTAGTTTCAGCGTGTTTTGTACTCCCCCCCCCCCCCCCCCCCCCCCCAAGTTCCAATCATTTGCAGCGGCAAAATGAAAGAAGTTAAGATTGCTGTCGGAAATGTGCAGAAGATTTGAGAGGTAGTGAGGGGTTTATAGACCAAGAGCAGTGTTGTAGCCGCCTGGTATGAAGGAAGGGTCAATCCACCAATCTGTAAACACCATAGTGGGGAGGGGTGGTGAAGGGTGCACTTGTGACAAATCAGATTTCTGAGTGGTGGAGTGTGTCCAGTTTTCCGAGGGTGGTCTTTGATGCAATTTTACAAATGATATTGCCGTAATCAAATAGAGGAAGGATGGTCATGATTTGGCGGCCCTGATCCGCCGTAAAAACTCTTATTGACAGAGAAAGCAAGGTCTTCTCAGGCTGCTGGCCTTCAGACAATGCAGGAACAAAACAACACAGGCGATCAGGAAAGCTAAAACCAGTCATTTCAAAGAATTCTCAGGCAGTGGCTCTGACGCCAAGAAATTTTTGAAAAAAGTCAAATCCATGAAGAAAACCCTCTGATTTTTGATGACATTGTTACTGATGAACATTTCGTGAAATCGTCTTATTTCTTTGGTGCAGCTGCCCTTGAAATAGATTCATCTAACACTCCTACTTCTCCACCAAGCGTTAACTCCTTCTCCCTTCAACCTGTTAAGGTTTCCAAAATCCAGGATGGTCTCATAAAGTTAGATTCAAACAAGTCAGCTGGATCCTGTGTTTTTAAAATCATCCGCTCATATTATTGCGTCCCCTAAGTTGACTAAGTCAACCATAATATTCTCCTCCTAAGACTTACCAGGATTGGCTTGTCCAGTGGATGTTGCAACTGGTTTGCTAGCTACCTGGCTGGTCGTGTCCAGCGGGTTAAGACATCATGTCTGAACCTCTTAACATTTCGAAAGCTGTCCCTCGAGACTCCACCGTTGTTCTCCATTTATATTAATGATGTAGCCAAAGCTGCTGCAAATTTCTGTATTCATCTGTATGCTGATGACACCATCATATATTCAGCTGATCCCTCACTCCACTCTGCTGTGTCCATTCTTCAACAAAGCTTCACCTCCATCCAACAGGCTTTACACAACCTACACCTGCTTCTCAACTCTGAAAAGACCAAATGTATGCTGTTTGACTGGAAAAAAAATCTTCCCCAGCCCTCCGAAGATCTACAGTGCTGATGAGTTTGTCAGCTCCTACAAATACCTTGGCTTCTGGTTGGACTCATCCCTCTCATTTAACATACACATCAAAATCCTTCTGTCTAAAGTCAAAGCCAGACCGGGTTTATGATTAATAGAGCCTGCCATGAGACCAAAGACTCACCTCTTTGTCTGTATCTCAACCTGTCGGTCTCCATCCCAGTCTTCAGTCTTTCTGCAGTCTCCTGCAGCAGCTCCTCTGGACTACAATTCCCACAATCTTCTTCTTCAGACAGACAAGTGACCTCTTCCTCTGGCCCCTCCTGTTGTCCTATTGGACACAACAGCCAGTCACCTGCAGGATTCTCTTCATAGTCCTGGGACAGAGGTGTGTACTGGTGCATTGTGGGAGGTTGCAGTTCTTCCTCGCTCCAATAGTGTCCAATAGTATTCTTTAAGTCCTCTGTGTCCTTCCTGTCCATAATTTCCTGTTTGTCCTTTGTGTCCTTAATGTCCTCGGTGTCCTCTATGTCTACGTCTTGATACTCATTGTTTGCATCTTGTTGAACCTCCATCTTGTTCAGAGCCTGAAGAAAGACCAACATCTGTCTCACATCACGTCATTTAGCTGACGCTTTTATCTAAAGCGACTTACAATAAGTGCATTTCAACCAAAAGAAGACAAACTCAAAAGAACAAGAAACAAGAAAGTGTGATTCATTAAATAAGCCGATTTACAATTTGCTAGAGGTAACAGCCATTATAAGTATAATTAAAGGGCTACAATTGGTTATGAGTCTATTGGGTGTATGTCTTTAGTTTGCGGTAGAAGATGTAAAGACTCTCTGTGGTCCTGATGCCTTCAGAGAGCTCGTTCCTCCATTTAGGAGCAGGACAGCAAAGAGTCGTGATCTAGTCAAGTGTTTTGGTCTCAGTGAGGAGAAACAAGCAGTTTATCAGATGCAGAGTGGACAGTGTTTACCTGTGTGTACACACACGTTTGTGTTTACCTATCTGTGTATCTACCCGTGTTTTTGCCTCCTGTGTGTGTGTATCTATTTGTGCGTTCACCTGTGTGTGTGCATCTACGTATCCACCTGTCTATCTATCTGTGTGTGTGTTATATACTTGTGTGTATCTACCCGTGCGTGTGTCTGTACCTCTATTTTACCTGTGTGTATCCACCTGTGTGTTTACCAGTTTGTGTATCTACCTGTGTGTGTGTGTGTGTGTGTATTTACCTTTGTGCGTGTCACTACCTGTGTGTATCTACCTGTGTTTTACATTGTGTGTGTTTATACACGTGTGTTTACCATAGTGTGTGTGTCTGTGTATCTACCTGCGAGTGTGTCTAACTGTGTGTTTGTGTATACACCTGTATACATCTATCTGTATGCACATAGACCAATGTGTATTTAGCTTTGTGTCACTACCTGTGTTTGTGGGTATACCTCTGTGTGTGTGTGTTTACCTGTGTGTTATAACTTTTGTGTATCTACCTGTGTGTTTGGGTATACCTGTGTGTATACACCTTTGTGTTTACCTGCATGAGCGAGCGCTGCAGACGAAGGTTGTGTTCTTTCAGCGTTTCCATCGTGACCTCCATCCCAGAGCACCGGTCCTCCAGGATGCCCTGCTCTGATTGGACGTTGAGCCTCAAGACATGCAACTGTTGCTCCATCAGCCTGTAGACAGATGAAGAAGGTGAGGAAGAAGAGGAGAAGAGAATGATGAAGAGTAAGAGGATGAAGAAGAAGTCGTGCGACTTCCTAGGACACACTGAACTTCTCTCTCCGCCCCTCTCTCCCCTATAAGAATTCACACTCATTAATGCACATCACAAACTTTGTTTTTTCCGCAGAGTGTTTGTGCTTTCTGTCCTCAAAGGTCTCCATGGTTCTGTCTGGACCCTGGTCCGGCCTCCTGCCATGGCCCTGCTGACACCACCTGCTGCTATCACTATTATTATTATTATTATTAATATTAATCACATTACTATTACTGTCATCATAAACCAAAGTTACTGTGCTTTCCCTACCCACCGATTTCTGTGGATGGTGGTTACGTCTGATGGTTGTTACGTCTGAGGGTCGTTATGTCAAATAGTGGTTATGTCTAATGGTGGTTGTCTCTGCAGTGCCGTACACTTGGCTTACTACTCTCAATATTTAAACCATTTCTGTTGTATTAATTGAACGTACTGTACATCTTTTACGTTGTTCATTCATACAGTCTTCTAGCATTCTGTCCATCCCGGGAGAGGGATCCTTCTCTAACATTCTCCCTGAGGTTCCTTCCTTCTTTCTCCCTGTTAACGGGTTTTTTCCTTCTCGGGGGAGTTTGTCTTGTTTCAATGAAAGGGTTTTGTGACAGAGGATGTCACGTGTACTCACTGTAAAGTCCTCTGAGGCAAATCCATAATTTGTTGTTTTGGGCTTTATAAAATAAGATGAATTAAGTTGAAAGAAGAGGAAATGAGGATGAAGAAGGAGGTGGATTTATTCTGGTTTCTCACCATTTGTCTCTCTGCAGGTTCCTGACCTCAGTCAGCAGAAGCGAAGCCTTCAGCTGATCAACAACAACAACACACAATAGTTATCTGCACGGTACCAATAGGTACCAAGCTGTGCCAGATGAATTCCCTCTTGTTGAAAGATATTTGAGAGTTTTGGATCATGTTATTCCTCACAGGAACGTTAAATATATGAATTCCCACAGTGAGGTCACCTGCTGAGGGGGCGTGTCTCTGTGAGTCTGCAGAGCTACAGATGAACATGAAGGAGGTTGATCAATGGCTCCATCTTGGTCAACGGAGCGAGTGTGGCTGACAGCTGAGGGAGTCAATCTTGTTGAGGCATGAGAGGTGGGCCGAGCACTGAGAGACAGAAAGTCATTAAACGGGTCTGAAAGGGGACGACTTGAATTCACACCTATCTCACCTATCTCGAGCATCCCCTGGCTCCACTCTTATCAGGCCCCTCCCACTGGGGGCCTGTCTTTGAGTGTATCGCCGTGGTGACAAGGCATGACGAGCGCTGCTCACTAACAAGGACAGAGACTCCCTCCAGGTAGGCTAAAGACAGACAGAAGATTAAAAACAGAACTTCACCTGTGTGTCGCTACCTGTGTGTGTACGTGTGTGTGTTGTTACCTTTATGTGTGTGATGGTGTCTTACCTTTGTGTGTGTGTGTGTGTGTGAGTGTGTTGTTACCTGTATGTGTGTGATGGTGTCTTGTTACCTGTGTATGTTTGTGTGGGGGAGTGTCTTGTTACCTGTGTATGTTTGTGTGGGGGAGTGTCTTGTTACCTGTGTATGTTTGTGTGGGGGAGTGTCTTGTTACCTGTGTATGTTTGTGTGAGGGTGTCTTGTTACCTGTGTATGTGTGTGATGGTGTCTTGTTACCTGTGTATGTTTGTGTGAGGGTGTCTTGTTACCTGTGTATGTGTGTGGGGGAGTGTCTTGTTACCTGTGTATGTGTGTGGGGGAGTGTCTTGTTACCTGTGTATGTTTGTGTGAGGGTGTCTTGTTACCTGTGTATGTGTGTGGGGGAGTGTCTTGTTACCTGTGTATGTTTGTGTGAGGGTGTCTTGTTACCTGTGTATGTGTGTGGGGGAGTGTCTTGTTACCTGTGTATGTTTGTGTGAGGGTGTCTTGTTACCTGTGTATGTGTGTGGGGGAGTGTCTTGTTACCTGTGTATGTTTGTGTGAGGGTGTCTTGTTACCTGTGTATGTGTGTGGGGGAGTGTCTTGTTACCTGTGTATGTGTGTGGGGGAGTGTCTTGTTACCTGTGTATGTTTGTGTGAGGGTGTCTTGTTACCTGTGTATGTGTGTGGGGGAGTGTCTTGTTACCTGTGTATGTGTGTGGGGGAGTGTCTTGTTACCTGTGTATGTGTGTGGGGGAGTGTCTTGTTACCTGTGTATGTTTGTGTGAGGGTGTCTTGTTACCTGTGTATGTTTGTGTGGGGGTGTCTTGTTACCTGTGTATGTTTGTGTGGGGGTGTCTTGTTACCTGTGTATGTGTGTGGGGGAGTGTCTTGTTACCTGTGTATGTTTGTGTGAGGGTGTCTTGTTACCTGTGTATGTGTGGGGGGGAGTGGTAGGGGGGGTTACTTGTGTGTTGTGTTTGTACGGTGAAAACGGTGAAACCTTGTTGACTATCAATGTTGGTCACTGAGTTTCACCAGGTTCTGGGCTTGGAACAATTTTTGTTCCCCTCTATATGCTTCCTTTAGGTTGTTTTTTTTTCTTTGGGGGAGTTTTTACTGTGTCACTGTGAGGGTCAGAGGATGTTGCATGTTTACAGACTGTAAAGCCCACTGAGGCAAATTTGTAATTTGTGATAATAAAAAAAATTAAATTGTATATACTTTTGTTACCTGGTTGTGTCTGTGTCTTATTACCTGTGTGAATGTGTTTTTATCTTTGTGTGTGTGTGTGCGTGTTGTTACCTGAGTGCAGAACTCAAGCACTGGATGGTGAGTTTTGTGTTTCCTCGTCTGTCTGTCTGACCAGAAGCAGCTTTGACACAGGTGAACGTTCACACACTTCATACAGCGATATCTGAACACACACATGCACACCTGATAAAGTCAAATCTATTTCAACTTTGTTATGATGTTTTAGATGGCTGTAAAGGAAGTATTCTGATTGGATGGTGCAGGCTCACCTGAGCCCGATAAAGGGGCAGGCCTTGCAGGTGTGGCAGCGGACGGCGTGACTAACATTCCGACTGACGGACAGGCGATACAGAGTGGGTAACCATAGCAACAGGGGGGGCTCGCTCTGAAGCCATGACGATACATGTTCTTCGCTTGCCGTGGGGGTCGACACCTGTAGGCAAAAACAGGTTAACGTGTCGCCACAATGACCACTAATCACCTGCAGCCGATTAGTTTCTCACCTTATGAAAACACGACCTCACTGCCGCCTCCACGTCTGTGAACACTCCTTCCTCCTGCACCGCCCCAGGAACCTGAACACCCATGAGTTAGAGGGGGTAGAGAGGGGCATGCTGGGAAACATATTGTGTGCAGTTATTACCTGGCTGAGGTCCTGTAGCAAAGAGCTGAGCCCAGACCTGCTGACTGATCCTGAACCGTTCCCTGAGACCCTCACAAGGGCTGGAGAACATAAGGCTTTAATTGTTAAGACACATTGTTCTAAACTATAAACTGAAATCTCAGACTTTTATTCTGGTGGGAACATTGTTCTAAATTACAGACAGAATATCAGACTTATAATCTTAAAGAAACACTGTTCTGAAATAGGAAACAGATTGACGGAGAGACAGCGGGAGACAAACAGATTGAAAGACAGGTTCTCACCTCTGTATTTAACCAATAGACATTCAGCTGAAAGAGCGATGAGTGAAGTCTGAAGAGAAACAGTTGATATGAAACCAGACTGACTCCTGAAATAGATACAGTATTTATTTACATGCAGATATATAGAATAAAAACACAATAATAATAATAGTAATAATCATTATTAATGATGATAATATACAGTCAGACCGATCGTTGAGCCTGAACATCAGATTGCAGATCTCCTCTGGAGCTTCCTCAGTTACATGACCAGGCTCTTCCTGTGACACGTTGTGGAACATCCTTTTTAGAATCCGGGTCACTTCCTGTCTGTTTATTCGATTTTCCTGCTGAAGGTTGGTTGTGCCCACAGAGGGGAGGGCTGTCGTGATGTGTCGAAAAGACACCAGATCCACTGGAAACCAACACACACACACACACACACACACACACACACACACACACACACACACACACACACAGTAGATGGATGTGTACTAATACATAATACATGTAGTATAAAATTGTGTACTCACTGTGACAGAGTCTCTGCAGAGACAGAAGCTTCATTGCAACTCTGTAGACGGAGGGACGTATTTCATTCAGCCCTTTTGAAGAAAACAACATGTAAACATCAATAACCATTTTAGCAATACACAGCTTTTGTTTAATTTCTCAGCAGATTAGACAAAAACTCTAAAACGACAGCAGAGAAAAGTTTACCAATGATGTGCAAATCCATGATGAGGTCACCTGAAAACACAAAGTAGCATCAGGACAATCAATAGCATAATGAACTATTGAGAAATATATATTATACAATACAGATAATAGAAACAAACATTCAGTATTTTTACTTCAATAGAAACAAACATTCAGTACCTTCAGTCGCTCAGAGTCTACCAACAAACGTCTCTTCCTGTTAAAGACACATAGGGAAGCTTTTGAATTATGAATGAAGGTTTCATTTATCATCGTCTGCTTCCTGTGGGCCAATCAGCAGTTGGCAGAGCAATGTTAGCACTCACTGACTGGTTTATTAACAAAGTAGTAGCATTGCTTACCCTGAACATTTCATATAATGTCAGAAAAGAGAGACCAACATAAAATATTTAAAATAATCGTATTTAAAATGCATTGCCATCCATACAGCGAATGGAGGACCTTTGACATCATTGTTCACAGGCAGCTGATTTTGGGCTCCATGTTGACATTCCTGATCATATTAGTGTGTTGAGCTGCAGAAAGACGTTCTGTGAGGGTGGGGTGATGATGCTGTCTTTCTGGCGCCCGCTGACCTCTCAGCTGTTTGTCTCTCTCACTGAAGCTCTTTGTTGGTCTCTAAGCGCTCTTTGTTTCTGGGTCGTCCCAGGACAAACCGCTGCAGCTCTTCTACATCTGCACTGAGATAAACACGGCGATACAGAGCCTGTCATCGACCACCACCACCATCTTTATCACCACCACCACCATTGTTGTGAGGAAGACAATGGTGATCCGGAGGCTGATCAATGTCTTACATCTGCACATATCAGGTCTAAAACATGATCACGTTGACCTGATGATGCTGGACGAAGAGTAAATACATGTGAAAATGGCATTGGCATTTAGCACTGCTGCTCAAAACATGTCCATGAGGTGCAACCCACACACAGCTTTGTTTCAGTGTCAACAGTTTACGAAATTACACTCTGATGGCACAGCACCGTGTATTCCACCACTAAAAAAAGTTTGAGAACCCCTGAAGTAGAGGACTGAAAGACATAATGATGCGGGTAGAGGAAAAGGACAGGACAAAGACACAAAGAGTCTAATCAAAACCACAAAGACAAAGAAACAAATAACCACACAAAAACTAAAAGATGACCAAATGTGCAGTATGAGTTTAAGTATTTGTTTATTCAAAGATATATGAAGAGATAAGTTAATAGATACCCTAAAGATATGTATGTTTATATATGAGTATATGTATAAGTAGTTGTATATGTATAATATAAGTGGCGATACATGTATGAGTATCTTTATACAAAGAAAACCCGAAAAGAAACTTTTTCTGAAGTGTACAGGCTCCTCCCAGGGGGCGTGGTCTCTCGGCTCCACTCGGCTGTCAGTCAATGTTCGAGTCATTACTGTTATTTCTTCTCTGCTCAACATCAACCCAACCAAAGTACTGCTGAACATCAGCATTTCTGTTACTGCTGCTGCTGGGTGAGTACACACAGTACACATTATTTAAACTTCATATTTTTCATATTTACACTTTACTACATCTGTGATGTTTTTGTCTCCTCGTGAACGAACGTGCTGATGGACTATTCAGATGAATGTGTGAACAGTACTGAGATTAAAATGAAACGCTCCTTGGGGATTTGTCTGGTGATCAGCTCTGCTCTGATTGGACTGGGTACGTTTGATTCTGTGTTTGTTCTTCATGGAATTTACATCATCTTAAAATAATTTGTTTTTAAACTGGTTCTGTATTCTGATCCAGAAAATAAAACGGAATTTAAAAAATGTGATTTCTAAACAAATATCTAATTCCATTTAATCATTCTAAAATAGATATAACCTATGGTAAAATTGCGTTAAAAATCTGAATGTTATCTGATTATTATCTAATTATTATCTCAGTGATTTATCTTTAGGCTAAAGCAGCGATTCCCAAAGTGTGGGCCGCGAAGGTACTGCAGGTGGGCCGCGAGAGGTCATTTACAATAAATAAATAAAGTTTTATAATTTTCAATTTTTTAAAGTTTGAAATTAATATAAAATATTTATGATGCGGCACATTAGTTATGTGAAACATTAGTTGATGAAGTACAAACAATTTAAAGGGACAGATTAATAAAACAATAATAATAATTATCGATATCGAAACGGCTGCTCTTGTCCGCCTGTCGTTGTTCAACAAACGCGGCGCCCTCTTGTAGTATTAAAGTCAATAAACCGTATTTTCCGTACTCCAAGGCGGACTTAAAAGGCTTTAATTTTCTCAAAAAACGACAGTGCCTTATAATCCGGAGCGCCTTATATATATGGATCAATTGGTTAATCGGTTGATCCATACTGGTTGTACACGGCGCTCAAGCGCGTGAGATGTGGAGCTGCTTTCAGGGCGCGTCGGAGAAACAAAGCTGTCGTTCTCGCCGAGCACTTCATGAGATTAAAGAGCGAGAGCGAGACCCTTTTCTCTACAGTAGCTGAACCGTCTTAACAGGGAAGTTATTCTAAAAGCAGCCAAAGTTTGATTTTGGTTAAATTCTTAAGGTCATTTAATCATTATGTTTTGATCAGAGTTGTGATTAAAGGTTTGGGTGGGCCGCAAAAGATTTTCAGATTTCAAATTGGGCCGCGGCGTTCTTGAGTTTGGGAACCGCTGGGCTTAAGAAATATCATTCTCTGAAATCAACCATAATCAATAATCAGCCATGTTTTCACCTTGTCACAGAAGTGTTCTTAAAGTACAAATATAACAAAACCTAATAAAAAGAAAATATATAACATTTATCTGTTTTCACTGGGTTGTATCAGAAGAAGCAATGAAAGGTATGCAATTAAGATGGACCAATAAACACACAAAGAGCAATAAACATGGATCAATAATACAGATCCATAAACAAGGACCAATAACACAGATCCATAGACATGGATCAATAACACGGATCCATAAACATGAACCAATAACAGATCCATAATCATGGATCAATAAACATTAATTAAGAACACAGATCCATAAACACGGACCAATATTCCTTATCAGCTCTCTTCTCTGCTTCAGGATCAGCTATCCGCTGTTACAGCTGTAAGGATTACACAGCCAGCTGCTCCAAACAGAGAGAGTGTAGCTATGACGACGCCTGTCTCACCCTCAGCGAGAGAGGTACCTCTACACCTGTCTGACTCCCCACTTGTCACTCTGTACACCAGTCTGTCTGTACTCCTGTCGCTCTGTACACCTGTCTGTGTCTGCACTTCATAGATTCTACTGAGAGTAGATTGTGTCTTTTTATTATATTGATTATATTGTGTCCATTATGTACATTTATTTTAGTATGTCTATTGATTCCATTGATTCTATGGAATATATTGTTACTATTAATTCTATTGTTCCCCTGCTGTTCCGCAGGTGGAATGACGTACCGTCAGTGTCTGAAGTATTCAGACTGTGAGTACAGCCGCTTGGGCCAGATGTTCCCCCAGGTAACAACTACTCTAATATTCTACTTTTATTTATTTTTCTCTATTCTACATTCTTTATATTCTACTTGATTGATTTCCACTATTCAATTATAATCCACTCTATTCTATTATACTCTGCTCTAATGGATTATATTCTTTTGTTGACTGTATTATACTTTTTTCTATTCTAATATACTCTTAATTATATTATACTCTATTCTACTCCATTTACTCTATTCTTACCAACCACAGAAAGAGATTTCTTCATAAAGATAAAGTTCCTGTAGACTTTAGCTTGTTCATTAGGGTGAGGAGACCACAGGTGTGCCTGGACTCAGGTAGTGCTAATGTTGCATCTGATGACTGATCAATAACTATCGATCATTTACAGGTTTCCAGTTTCACCTTCAAGTGCTGTAACTCAGACCTGTGTAACTCCGCCCCTTCCACTGCAGCGAGTTCTTTGGTTGGTCTGCTAGCCTCAGCGGCAGTCATGTGGTGGTGCATTCACTGAAGAGTGCTGCAGCTCAACCGCGCCCCCAGTGGCAGAAACATGTAACAGCTTTTCTAACAGTGTCTGATCAATACATTCAGCCTACTGATCAATATATTCATCATCTGATCGATACATTCTGTCACCGGATTAATACATTCAGTCATCTGATTTACCCATTTATAATGACTACTTATCACGAATCAATATTTATGTTTAAAGAAATAGTTTGACTAAAGAGTTTCAGCTCCTGGTTTATTGATTTACTGATTATTAACAGTCTAAAGTGTAGCCATGGTACCATTTGTATCAGCTCAGTTTTGATAGAAGGGCTCTAACGACACAGCCTTCAAAATAAAAAGTTGAAACGATCTAAAGACTTAACTTCTGCCTGTGAATGAAATCAATAAATGGTGACAAAGTGGAAACTTTTTGACTCAATGACTGATTATTGGGTATTGTATATATACACAAATATATATATATATATATACAAAAAATACAAAAAAACATCCCTGGGGAAATTTAAAAAGTGACTATGAAGGTGATCTCGTGTGGAAAAGTGGTGTATATATCTATACGTATATATATATATATATATATATATATATATATATACGTATAGATATATATATACGTATAGATATGTATATATATACATACGTATATATATATACATACATACATATACATATAGATACATATACACACACACACACATATGAGTATTCATATACGACTGTCTCAGGAGAAGAGATGCTGACGCTGAAGCTCTGGATGCTGCTGGACAAACAGACAAGGAAATTGCAGGGATTGTCACTCAGCAGGTAAAACCACATAATATTTATTAGAAATAATTAGGAATGTTTATATCATATAATTAAATGTATTTTAAAGTGTGTAGCTACATGTCTGACCTTTGGCCTCATATGACCTTTAACCTACGTAAGCCTCAGAGGACCTTCCCTTCCTGTTGGAAACTAATTCAGTACAAAGGGCTGCTGGGATGTTTCCAACAAATAATTGCTGTACACAAGGTACTTATACACACATACTATACATTGCATACAGAGTACTTATGAAACATACTGTTGTACTTCACCACATGTTTTTTTCTGGAATAAGGACTTTTGTTTATTTTTGTGTGCAAACTTTTGACGGAAAACATGGTCTCGCCTTTGTACTTTAACAAGGGGCGGGGCTTTGCGTACGTTGGGTGATGTCAATGATGGGGTGTGATCTCACCTGTTAGTACAGGCTGCAGCGGAGAAGCTGATCGTCTGGTTTCTGCAGGAAAAATCAGCAATAACGACAAGAGCATGAACAATCGACTCAGCTGCATGAGCTACTCCCTGCAGGGTACACCAAGCACTACACACAGTATACATAGTACTACACAGTAGTACATAGTACCAAACACAATTCTTCATAGAGGACTAGAAACTGCAGTGTGGTAAGTATACTACCTTAGCAATCGTAAGCTACAGTTGACTCATGGTGCGTTCACACCAAAATCTACGTGAATGTTTGGCATCGCCTCAAACACTCTAAACGGACCGTATACTCTCGGATCATTTGTGGTCAATTTGTCACGACGAGGTTCTGCCTCCTGCTGGTATCATGTGGAGGGGCGTGGCTCCAAACTGAAGCCCAATCAGACTCCCTGATTAGAGGTCACTTCACCTGTGCAGGCAACCAAGCTGCCTTCAATCTAAAATCACCCTGCAGTACATCGACCCCGGTTTCTCTTCCACTTGTCGCCAAATCGTTGTTTCAACTAACCTGGTAACAAATAAATAAACAAATATTGATTTATTTAAAACCAAATATACAGTTAAAGTAACAATTGTTCAAAATAAATGATGTTGTACTATGTTGTTGTATGTAATGTTGAAGTAAAAGCACACAAAAACAAAATGTAGAATATTTAAATGAACGAGAGAATAACAAAAAATATATGAATAATTGTATAATGAGTCCAAAGCTGTAGACGGAATCAGACCAACCACGTTAAAAAAGAATAAGAATGAATATAAATATGTCAATCATTCAAATATATATTTAACCTTAAAAAGTTATCAAGGTGACGACAAATAGGAAATGTTTAGCAAACAGGGACTGTCTTCAGAGGTGATAATAATATTTATTATAATGATTAATTAAATTAATCAGATTAAATATTTTAAAAGAGTAATAATAATGAAAGTTATAATTTCAATACTATTTAATAATAGGTAAAACATAGCAATAATGATAATTAATATATCTATTAATTGATATAATAATATAATAATAGCTGTTGAATCTGACAATCTGCTGCTGAGCATCAATGGGAGGATTTCCGGTTGAGCGTGTGACTGTGACCTCTGACCCTGTGAAGTGCATGCTCAGATTTCCTGAGAGCTTAGAACAATAAGATAATTACTTCTCTCCGATGAACACAGAATAAGGTGCTTCAGTTATCATGAACTCTTCTCTTCACACGATGAACGTCTCTGCTATCACCCGGTGGCCGAGAGCTTCACTACAGCGTCAGTGTTTAGGTCTGATCAGTAATCAATATCCAAACATATTCTTGATGAGGTTTAATGAGTTTATTTAAACATGTATTGATCTATTCATATGGTTCTTATTGATGAACTATGTAGCAGATTAGACTCACATCCTTTGTGTTTTATAGATATGTAGTTTTCCATAAGGTACATCAGCGATGACGTCGTGGATGTTGGTTTTGATGCCCCTTATTGATAAGGAAAATTTATCTTTAGCTTCCTGCGAGCTACATGACAATGACCCCCGGACCACATTCTGCGGTCAAAGGTCGTAAAAAAGAGCTTCAGTCCCTTTGGTCGGCGGTGTGGAGGACAGCGGCGGCGCTCTCCTTTGCTCCCTGCAGCAACACCGCCGCTCTCTTCTGAGTCTGCAGCACAGAGGTATGATTCAAGATTGACTTTATTTAAACCAGTGTCACTGACAGAGCTCACTTACCGCCGCCTTAAAGGCCTCGTCCGCGATGTCCTTGAGGTTGATGGTGACGTTGTAATACGCTCCAAAGACGGCCGTCTCAAGCGCTTTAGCTGCCACCTGCAAACACAGACTCTTCAAAGTAAAGGTTTTATTTTGAAAATGAAGCATCTCTAAATCTTGCCAACATCAATATGTTTAGCAGTTTGTTATAAAGCTTCTGAGCTACACCCGTTTGATGGCTGATTTTGTTACCTGCGCGTCTGATTTGCAGGCGATGTTACAGTAGACGACCATTTCTTTTAGGGGCGACCAAAGGACGCTGATCTTTTCAGCCAGAGCCAAAGGCACAGCCACCGCTGCCTGCAGTGCCTCCTGCATAGCAGCCGTCCTCCTGATCATTGATTATAGATTATAACACTCTCACTCTCACTATCGTCACTAAATAAAAACGTTGTTGTTTAAAGACGTTTTACATGAATTGAATCACCTCTTCATCTCCTCTGAAGTTTTCTTCGGCATCTTCAGGGCCACCTGTTATGATTAAGTTATGAAGCAATTAGTCATCATTGGGTTATGAAAGAATGAGTTATAAATGAATGAGTTAAAAATGGGTTATGAATGAATGAGTCTAGAATAAGTTATGAATGAGTTATGGATATGTTATGTGTTATGAATGGGTTACGAATGATCTCACCATGTAGCTGCTGAAGGCCAAGGCGTCCTGGTCCACCATCTCCAGCAGCTGGTTCATGGCCTGGTGGAACTGAGGGATCAACCTCCTCATGACGGGGTCCTCGTTCTCAAACTGTCTCTTCCCGTAGGTCATCTGACCAACCATTGCGCCCAGCGCCGCCCCCTGCAGGATGCACACATTAGCCTCAGGATGGACACCCTTCATACTACTACACGTGTACTAGTACAACCATGAAGTACTCTGGTACCAGAGCAGCGACGGCAGCAGAGACCGATCCTCCGCCGGGAGCCGCCGACCGAGCCCCGACGCTCTGGACAAACTGCTGCAGAGATGAAGACACCAAGGGGCGGACCTCAGGGGACATCACCATGTACCTGCATAGGTAATCACAGAACCTCTAGAACTCTCCCTATCACGAACCACATACATGTACATATGTACATCCTGCATGAAGACTTACTCTATGATTCTCTCTTTTGGGTTGAACGGTCCGAGGGAGTCCAGGCCCAGTTTACTAATCACCTGACCACACAGAGAGTCTTTCTCATTTCATATCATCTACGATATACATATTTACACACATTAATGATTTCAACTTGAAGAGCTTCATACCCACCAGCCGGACTTTGTGCTCCTCTTCCACAATGAAGAGCCCATCCCTCTGGATGTAGAAGTCAGCAGAGTCCAGCATGGCCTTCAGGGGAATCAGACCTACAATCTGAGAGCCCACCACCGGCAGCTTCAGCTCCTGATCGATCAATAACGATACAACGTGAGGAAACTGCTGGTTGTTGTATGTGAACACCGTGGAGCAGTGAATGACCTCTGACCTCAGCCACCCTGCAGACCTCCTGGTGCACAGTGTGGAGGGGGGTCAGCTCGTAGTCCAGAATGTTGGTGGACACCTGAGCGATGTTGGCCTCGTCCAGGTACCAGCCCATCGCCTGCACCTTCTGCAGCAGCCCCGGCTGGTCAAGGGACAGGGGGAGGTCACAAGGTTAGGAGAGGAGGAGAGGTCACTATATTTCAGGTAGAGGTCGCCAAAGATCATGAGAGGTCACTGGAGGTCATTAGCGGATCAGCAACACCAGATACTTTTATTTATTCAGAAGCTGTGAATAACAGTCAGTCAGTCAGTCATGGAAGACACCGGTATAGACATTGGGAGGTCAAACTCCCGGCATGCACCTGGTCCTTCCCCCGGCCCTGCTCCCTGAGGTCCAAAGCGATGCGGTGGGCCTGCTCTTTGGTGGCAATAAGGTTCACATTGAAGGCGACAAGGAACTTGCGAGCGCCAGTTACTGTGGCGCCCCAAGATGGCACGAACAGGGCGGGGCCAAAGTCAGGGGACCAATCAGAGAGCTTCAACTGGACAGAGAAAGGAATTAAAACATTAGTCCTTTTATGCACACAACATATTGTTCGGTGTTGTTTTGGATGTTTTAACAGGACTGTTTTAGGACATTCTGAAAGTACAACACAGGAAACTTCATACCACAGTAGCTATTACGCTGCTTCATTCCCCATGATGCATTGGCTGAGGGGATACAGTCAACTTTTCGTCTCACCTTGTCAGGTAAAGCTTCGTATTCTCCGCTTCTCACAGACGGGAGACTTCTTCTGGATTCTTTTCTTGCTGCTTCACCATAAAGAAAAACTAAAGATATGAAATTCATTGTTAGTCATAACACTAACATAGCCCAATGAATCAGGATCAGGAATCAGGAATCAAGAAACATTTATTACCAAAATATGTCAGACATACAAGGAATTTCACTTGGCGATTGGTGCATAACATTCGACAGTTAGACAATGGACAACAATGCAATGGTTATCAATGGACGGAAGTATTGATCAGACATTTATACATTATTAGTCTACTATGACAGTCATCGGTTATTTACCAGTTATTAATCATTTACTAACCATATATTAAATCACATCACTAGTTGATAACAGAGGTACTTCACCGGGGACGTGCAGCATCTCTGCTAATTTCTGTCCAAAGACATCAGCGCAGTGAACACAGTCATCCATCGAGGCGTTTCGGACGGGGACAAAGGGACAGACGTCTAGTGCACCTGTCCGAGGGTGCTCACCTGAACAGGTAACACACACAGGTCAGCTACTTCGTGTTGTGATGAGGAAGTAGCCACTCACCTGAAGAGGTAACACCCACAGGTATGCTACTTCCTGTTGTGATGAGGAAGTACCTGCTCACCTGAGTGCTCTCTCATGTCAATGAGGGTAGAGGCCTGGCGGGCTGCGCTCAGCGCCCCCTCCACCACAGCTGCAGGGGAGCCCACGAAGGTGTAGACGGTGCGGTTGGTGGAGGCACCGGGATCCACGTCCAGTAGGCTGCAGCCCGCTGAGCCCGAGATGGCTGCAGAGATAGCATCAATCACCTAAGGACATAATCAATGTTTTTGGTATTCATTCATACTCTGAGAGCCTCATGCGCATATAAGCTTGGCAAGGTATCTAGAAACAAGCCGCAGTGAGTTGCAGCGTGGACTGTCTGTTGCAGGATTTGAAAATGGCAAATTGCTCTTTTCCGGAGCGTCACGGGTAAAGTTTCCCATAAAGCGATGGGAGAGGGTGCGTAAAGTGAGCCTAATGATGTATTACATTACAGGTCATTTAGCTGACGCTTTTATCCAAAAGCGACTTACATTACATTTTTAACCCGTGGCTTATTACATTTTTGCTCACAGAGCAATTAGGGGTTAGGCGTCTTGCTCAGGGACACTTCGACATTGGGAAGCCGGTACTCGAACCACCAACAATGCGGTTGGCAGCGCACCCTCTCTACCCCTGCACCATGACGATCCCATGTACAGAAACCGCTCGTGGAAGCGTGCCCTCCGTTTTGCGGTGGAAATGATCTGCCTCTTAAACGCAGGCGTGAACCAGAATGCGGGTTTGCTCACGTACGCCTCCTGCTGAAATGAAAGCAGTCATCTAAGCCAGACGGCAACATAGGACAAGGTGACGGGATGAAAGGATTTTTGCCACAAAGACCACACTTTTTCAGTTGAGTGAACACAAAATCATTACGCGTCAATTGCAGATAAAGCAGCCATGCAATATTCCAGTTACTGGAAGAAAGATGACTTTGCATCTCCCACTCACCATTCACATTCCATTCCAGCAGTTGTTAAACTCTTCACTACATTACAATTATTGGCATCAGGATCATTTTAAACAGTCATAGCATCAGCAGTGGGAATATCGCAGTCTTTGGCTGATGCATGCTAGAATTAGCACAATGTGTGGTATAGTGGGTGGAGAAAGGCGCTGATCACCTGATGAGCTGCAGGTTTCATAAATACGTCGTAAGCTCAAGTTAAGCTAAATGTTCTGTCACATTGACTCATAAACACACAGTAAACAACAACAGATCATTATTGATGGATAATAAATAATACCTTTTTGTCGCGACCCTCTGAAAAGTTGGGGACACATTCCACCAGTTGGTCCATAATGTCTGCAGCCTGAAGGAGACCTGACTGCTCCTCTGGTCCGGCGCTATGAATCATTGACTCATGAGGGTCAGCTGACAATGATCAACGGCCAAGGTCAAAGGTCAGGGTCCGACGGCCAGACTCCACTGAGGGGGGTAAGAGTATAATGGGTGAGAGGACGGGAGGAGGGACAAGTTAGGAGACACATCAAGTTCATAGTGGTCCTTTAATCTTCATAAAACTTGTTCACTATGTTTTAATGAGAAATATTAACTTGAATATTCATATAGTATTCATGTAGCATATATATGTAGAATTCCTCTATTATGTATGTAACTAAGAACGTCTTTATAATACAAAATAAATCTAGAACTACAATTTGCCGGTAATCGTGGTAACGGACCTCGAGTTCAAAACAGTTTTCACTAAATAAGCCTGCTCGTTTATGGAGTTAAATATTTAAGTTACATCATCGAAAACAGAGAGTTAATCAATGATGACCTGGATCTCTGACAGCTGATTGGTTCAGTGCAGAAAACTATGCGTCCGCCTCTCTGACTCCAGAGGTCAAAGATAAAGAGTAATTGTTCTTTAAAAGGTTTATTCCTTAACAATAGAACAACAATATACACACGCCGCACAGGATTAACAAAATTTGACATGATTGGCCTGGTCTGATGAGTCTGGATTTCAGCTACGACATTCAGGTGTTTGGTTCAGAATGTGGAGTAAACAACATGAAATCATGGATCCATCCTGCCTTGTATCAATGGTTCAGGCCGCTGCTGGTGGAGTGATAGTGTGAGGGATACTTTGTTGGTACACTTTGGACCCTTAGTACCTATTGAGCTGGCCGGTGGCCGGACTATATCACAGATCATTTTTAAATGGTTGATCATTTTAGAAAAATACGTGCAGTTAAACTGAAGAAAAATCATCCAACAGATTCATAAAACATTACCAGCGTTACCAAGGCAATTAAAACGCTGCTGAAACAGCGAAGGGAAGGTACCTCTATTCATGCCTTGCACGAGTTTGCTTGGTTCTACAGTCCCTGTCCAAAAATCGTCATACATGTAGGTCAAACAGGGGGCTCGGGCTACTTCATTGAAAACTCCCAGGGAGCACTGTGGAGGCCACTCCACATCAGCTCTGTGATGTTATTACCGCTGACATAATATTTCAAGAGTTTTCCCAAAGGAAATTCTTTCTGTGGGCGCCAGAGAGCCATTTTTAAAAATTGCGCGACCTCAAATATATCAAAATTTTTTGGATTGATGCGCACGCCAAAATTTTCTACGAAACACAATAGGGCATTCGCCTGACTTGCAGTCGGCTCAGGCGCGGATAATAATGATGATGATGAAAGCAGCAGCAGGTGGCAGGAGTCAGGACCAGGGTTCAGACGGAAGCAAGATCAGAGAGGCGACAAGAAAGCACAACAAACTTGCTCAATTAGTGATGTGCATTAATAAAATGTGGATCATTGTAAGAGGAGAGAGAGAGGAGCTTAGTATATGGTAGTAGCTTAACTAAGGGCTGGTCCAGGCTAACCTGAGCAAGCCCTAACTAAAAGCGATATCAAAAAGTTTTAAGCTATATCTTAAAAGAGCTGACCGAATCTGCCTAGTTCTTAATACACGTGCTGCAGCATTCTGAATCAACTGGAGAGGCTTAATAGATTTATAAGAGCAGCCGGATGAAGTAAATTACAGTAATCCAGTCTAGAAGTAACAAACGCACGAACACATTTTTATGCATTACTTTTTTTTGCATCAGGAAGTTGCAGGTCATCCAAGTTTTGATGTCTCCACAATATTCTTGAAGTCTAACAAGCTGGTCGGTCTCTTCTGGTTTGATCGACAGATACAGTTGAGTATCGTCTGCATAACAATGGAAGTTTATTCTGTGTTTTCTGATAAGATCGCCCAAAGGAAGCATATAGAGGGTAAATCACAGAGCCTTGTGGGACTCAGTTCCTTTAATATAAATCAAATGTTCTGGTCTCTTCAACAAGATGCAAAGCTCAATGGCGTCAAATGCAGCACCGAGGTCCAGTAAGAAAAGATGAGTCCTTGGTCCGATGCAAGTAGAAGATCATTCGTGATTTTCATCAGTGCTGTTTCTTTGCTATGATGCACTCTAGATCCTGACCGGAAATACTCAACTAAAGCATTGTTTTGTAGAAAGTCACATAATTGATGTGCGACGGATTTCTCAAGGATCTTCGAGAGGAAGGGAAGATTAGAGATAGGTCTGTAGTTAGCCAACACCTCTGGAGCAAGAGTAGTTTTTTTTACAGCTACCTCAAAGGACTGTGGTACATGTCCTGTCAAAAAAGAAAGATTCATAATTTCCAGTAAAGACGTGCTAACTAATGGAAAAATTCCTTAAGCAGCTTAGTCGGAATCGGATCCAAGAGACAAGATTTAGAAATTGTAGAAGTCAGAGAAGCCATCCAAGCAGATATCATGGCCCACTGCTGAACCCAAGGTTCCTACATCAGTCGACGACAGGAGACCATCCATTTTGTCTTTAATAGTCAGAATCTTATCATTGAAGAAGTTCATGAAGTCGTTACTGAGGTCCAAAGGAATACACGGCTCAACAGAGCTGTGACTCTCTGTCAGACTGGCTACAGTGTTGACGAGAAACCTGGAGTTTTTATTTTTCTCTATTAATGATGAGTAATAGGATGCTCTTGCGTTACGGAGAACCTTCTTGCCAAACTAGGCTAGATCCTTCTGATTTGGTGGAACGCCATAACTGTTCAAAGTTTCCGCACAGTATTATACCAAGGAGCAAACTTCCTGTCACGGTTTGGGTTAATGTCTGGTTTTATTTTGTAGTTTCTTGCCTCTGTTCTCCCTGGGTCATGTCACTTCCTGCCTTGTCCTGTCCTCCTCTGTGAATGTCTGTCATGTCATGATTGTTTCCACCTGTGTCCAATCACCTGCACCTCCCTAGTGTATTTAAGCCATGTGTGTCTGTTGTCACTTGTCGCGTCATTGTCTATCGTCCTGGATGTTCCTCGTTCCTGCCTGCCTTTTTGCCCCGGTTTGTATGTGTTCTTGCCCGTTGGCCTTTTGCGTTTTTGAATTTTGACTAAGTCCTTTTTGTTTCCCGCAAACTCTGCGTTTGAGTCCTGCCTTTTTCCCCACGCAACATCCCTGACAGAATGACGCGACCCGTCAAGGACTCAGGACGCAGTTTTTTCCTCGGGAAGAGTTCAGGGTAACCCGTCTGGCTATGGGCGGTCCACGCAATCCTCGGCTGGCCGTCCGTAATGGGGAAGAGGTCCTCCCCGGGGTTCCAAATATGGTAAATGGTAAATGGACTGTACTTGTATAGCGCTTTTCTAGTCTTCCGACCACTCAAAGCGCTTTAACACTACATGACATCATTCACCCATTCACACCCATTCATACACTGATGACAGGAGAACCATACACGGTGACACCTGCCCATCAGTAACTAACATTCATACGCTGTAGTCGCAGCTACAGGAGCAATGTTGGGTTAAGTGACTTGCCCAAGGACACATCGACATGCGGGTTAGCCAGGACTGGGATCGAACCCACAACCCTCTGATTGGAGGACGACCGTGCTCCCCACTCACCCACAGTCGCCCAGATGAATACATGTTCTACTCGGTCTCCCCTTCCGGAGCCCTCAGTAGGCATCTGGGTCGCCGCTCTCACTATCCGCAGCCCATCACGTGGTCTCCAGAGGAGGAGGCCATTTCGTGGTCGTCCGCTCACTGGGAGCGGGTGATGGACGTTGTGGTCCGGCTCCAGGCCACCTACGCTCTCCACGCTCTGCCGCAGCGACATCCCGACCCTGCTGGGTCGCAGCGCACAACGTCCAGCGCTGGGTCGGCAGCAGCTTCCGTCCCGGCCTACCGGCCCAAGCCCACGACCCCTGAGCCGACGCCCCGATCCAGGTCCACAACCCCCGAGCCAGCGCCACGATCCATGCCCCCGACCCCGGTACCGGCCCCACGATCCATGCCCCCGACCCGGCCTGTACCGGCCCCACGTTCCATGCCCCCGACCCGGCCTGTACCGGCCCCACGTTCCATGCCCCCGGCCTGTACTGACCTCACGTTCCAAGCCCCCGACCCCGGTGCCGGCCCCACGACTCATGGCCCCGACTCGGCCCGTACCGGCCCCGAGACTCATGGCCCCGACTCGGCCTGTACCGGCCCCGAGACTCATGGCCCCGATTCGGCCTCTACCGGCCCCGAGACTCGTTCCCGGACTCAGGCTCCCTCCCTCCCATCCCGTGGTCCTCTCCCACCCTCCCTTTGGTGGCTTGGGGGACGTCTGGGATCCGGCCCTTGAGGGGGGGCTATGGCGGGGGCTGAGCCGCCGACCACTCCGGAGGTGTTCCGTGCCCCAGAGCCGCCGCCTACTGCGGAGTTGTTCCGTGTCCCCTAGCCGCCACCGACTACTCCGGAGGTGTTCCGGGTCCCCGAGCCACCGCCGACTACTGCGGAGGTGTTCCGTGTCCCCGAGCGGCCACCGACTACTCCGGAGGTGTTCCGTGTCCCCCGAGCCGCTGCCGAGAAGGAAGTCCTGCCTTTTTCCCCATGCAATATCACTGACCCTTCCTTCTTGTTGCCATTCTTTTTTCCAATAGCGTTTAGCGCCATTCTCAAAGAGCCTGTAGCAGTGTTGACAAGATGATCGATCTGGGACGGACTGAAGAGTGTTTGGGCATCCTCACCAGATGCCCAAACCACTCTGGGAAACTTCAGTCCGTCAAAGCGAATGCAATACCGCCCCCGCTGCTCCGATTCTCCGGCGGAACTCACACTCCATCTTCCCCTCACTCGTGAACAAGACCCCGAGGTACTTGAACTCCTTCACTTGGGGTAGGGGCACATTCCCTACCTGGAGTAGACAATCCATCGGTTTCCTGCTGAGAACCATGGCCTCAGATTTAGAGGTGCTAATCCTCATCCCGACCGCTTCACACTCGACTGCGAAGCGCTTGGAGAGTTGGAGGTCACAGACAAAAAGATGCCATCAGGTTAAAGGGCAGAATTCAACCTGGTGGAACATGTTGAACTAGCGACTCTTTCGCACTTTGCTCTCAGCTCTCCATC